CTCTGCCAGCCTCAGCTCTCCCTGTTCAGGAGTCGAACGGCTGCTTTGGGCTCGGGGGGGATTTCTGAAGCAAAGCACATCTTTTACGCTGGAAACTTGCTTCCCCATTCATTCAGCAAGAGGAACCAGGTGTCAAACTGCCCTTTTCTCCAGTGTGATGCAGGTATGATTATTTCTGCTCAGTATGAGAGCAAAAAGGTGCCCCAGCCAAGGCATGCTGCCATCCTGCTGGTGACTGAACCTAAGCTATGTAAAATAGGTGGTTATGGATGCAGCAATCAAAAGAGACATGGTAGAAGATGGGTGAGAGGAAAAAGAGAGGCAGGAAGAGAGAGTGACTTCCTTGAACAAGTGTAGTAATTCAGTTGCACAAAGAGAATCTAAGGCTGCAAAGTCCTATTCCCTGCTTGAAGGACCCATCAATAATTTGACCATTATGGGTTTCTCTTTTATGGAATTTCTCACGATTCCAGGAAGCTCTGGGGTTGTGCTGTGTCTTGCTAAAACCAGAAGTATCAGATTTTCAGAAAGAGACTAGTCTTCCAAGGTTTTCAGACCCAAACAATTTAGGAAAAGATTTTTTCTCTGTTTATCTAAACTTGGAATGAACTGCTGAAACGTTTGAGGTTTGTCTCTAATAAAACCCGGTTTTGAATCACTGAAGTATTCTGCAGCATAAATATGGCCTTCAAAGTGAGCAGAGGTGGTTGTGCTTTCCTGGGACATGTTTTGCCTGGGGTTAAGGCTAACTGTTACTTTAAACTCATATTCAAGGATGCTGAAATCTTGCAAATTGTTCCCATACAGTTTCTGCCCTTCTCTTGAATGGTGGGAAACTTACTCCTGCAGCTGAAGTATGCGGATTCATTTGAATCTGAAATCTAGAAAATTTGTACTCAGATCTGAACCTTTTTTGAACATTGCCTGGGACCTGCCAGTTGAACTTGTGGGTTAAACCACTCTCTGTGCTCGTTTTTGCTGACTGTATCCAGCATGGTAGTTCCCATTCCAGCCTCCACATCTGGCACTGTGGACCCTCGTACCAACATGACAGCATTACCCACCATCTCGCATTTTAGCATTTTGTAGCCTCATGCAGTGCCACCTGGTTGCCATTTGGCAATGCTCCATTCAGCCTGTCCTGTCTCTGAAAACCTGGACTAACGTAAAGGTCAACCATCACAGCAGAAAAAGATGTGGAGATATCTGGAGCTGATGAGGGATTGTGCCCTCCCACTGTTGTTTGAAAAAGGAACTTTTCACTGATGCAGTTTGGAGCCCTTTGGTGGACAAGTAGTTTCCCCTGTCAGAGTTGTTAAGGTTTACATAATAATATTTGTCAAAAAGCAAAAAATAACACTTTATAACTACTCTCTTAGAAGTGCATCACTTTGAAGCCAACCTTTCCTTGCTAGAAGGAGAGTTGCATTTCATGACACAACCATGTCTCAAGCAAAATGCCTGAAATTTCCTTTTCTGAGAAGGTCAAAACAAGACATTGCAGCAATTTTAAAGCTTTGTTGAAACTTCATTTTCTTCCAGCCAGGAATTGTGACAAAAATAATCCTTGCCATTAAAAGTTTTGTTTTCAGCAAATCAATATTTTGTTTTTCCCAGAGAAAAAGCCTCCTGGAAAAATTCCTGCTCTGGGGTTGGCTTAAATTTGAACAAAACAACAGTGTCTCCTAGTGGCTGACTCCAGGGGAACGGCCAAATCCATCTTGGTTTTCAGGTGTCTCTTTCTCAACCCTCCTCCTAGCTCTTTGCTCATCAGGGAGTGAGAGAAGTGGGAAATGAATTGTGCTCTAAACAAGAAACCATTTCATAAGCCATAAAAATATCTATGGCAGGCTGTTTTCTAGGCTCCAGTTGGTGTTGAAAGAAGGTAATTACATTTGAAGGCTATATCACTGGATGCTTGGCTCATCTGCTGTTCAGCTTCCACTCTAATAATACAAAAGCTCACATCAGCAGCTTAGCCAGCATGCAGGGCTATCCATCCTTGTCTTTGCCCGGTGGCTTCTGCCTCCGTGTCACTGCAGGATTGTGCTCCAAACGTCTCATGTTACAGCAGTCCTTGGCATTGAATTAGTTCTGCCTCACACCAAATACGTTCACTAAAGGCTAATGAAGATCTCTTGTCTGAAGCACGATTGGCTTTGCAGTGTCAGCCTGCTGTCCATCAACCTTGCCCAGGCGTCCCCACCTCATCTTGATCTGCTGGATCAGCTCCTCATCACAGCTGTTGATGATCTCCTCTTGGGCCACCTCCTTGTCTTCTCCTTTCCCTCTGCCTCGTGCCCTCTCTCCCCTCCCCTGAGAAATGGCTGCGGCTTTTCTCCTGAGCTCGTATATGAAGCAAAAGTCACGGTGCTGGAGAGTAAGAAACAAGGACACCCAATGATTGAAGGAAATTGGCAAATCAAATTCGAGCAATGATATTGGCAGATTAACTGGTTGCAATGCCATGTGTTCAACAGGCCACAGAAAGATCCCGGGATTGGCTTAGAAAACATGGGATTTTAGAGAATAATAACTTACAAATTCGTTTTATTTGCCTGAGGGTGTTTTTAAGTTTGTTCAGTTTAAGCTTTTCAGGCTGGATACTGACTTTTTTGGTAATGTCTCCTGAGGTTGTCTTGTCATATTTGCATAACTCCAGGATTAAGGGTTTTGAAATGATCACCAGCTATCCCAATTTTCATGATAAAATTGTGACTCTTGGCAGCACATCTGGCAGCAGCAAGGTGAACCTGGAGAACTCTGAATTAAGTTTTACTTTAGCGGGTGAGACTGCTGCTGTATTGCAGACTACAAGGTACCGTAGGTCACAATGGGCAGGTTCTCTATGTTTCCCAGCTGAAAGAGCTACAGAGCAACTCTATCCTTTCAAAGCTGCCCAAGCTGCAGCTTCCTTGCTAATGATTTTGTCATTAATTTCCCAGCCTCGACATGCTAACGAGCCATCCTTGGCCTGCCATGAACACCCTGTCCCAAGGAGCCCTCAGTCTGCTGCCTGGAGGGACGCAAGAATTTAGCAAGTTATTTTGCTTCTTGTCAAGAATGCCCTCGTATAACCCCAGCTGAGGGAAGGCCGAACGTTCCAGCTGCACGCTGCTCCTGACAGATAGCTCGAGGACAGTGCGAGCATGGTGTCCCGTCACCACTGCGACGTGGCTTACAGCGGGACAGGCGCCTGGGAGCCCACGGGGCTCTTTCAGGCTCAGTCTCTGTTGGGGAGCTGGTTAGATGCCATCCTAGAGCAGCCCTTTTCTTCAGCTGTGTTTTCATTACAAAGGGAAGACCTCTGCCCAGGTTGTTTTGGCATCATCAGAGAAGGGAATAGCATGGACGAGCACTGATGTCAGGGAGGGAATCGTCATCCTTGCAGCAGGGAAGGTGTGAGGAGGGCAGCCCGGGGATCGTGCTGCTCAGATGCACTGTGCAGCCATCTGGGCCAGCCCTTGCTAGAGACTAAAGAACCGAAAATTGCACAGTCCTTCCCCTGGTGCCCCGTAATTAGTGTATATGGATTACAACCATGAGGACTGAGGCTCCTAGTGCTCCTTCTCCTGGATAAATGGTTGAGCAAATGACAGTCTATTGCATAAAGTAATATAGGCTATGAATGATGGTTCATTAGCAGCCCACAGACTGTCGCTGCCTGTAGTAGGGGATGTGTGGGCTTTTCCTGCATTTGGGTTAACTCTTTCACCCCCTCCTTCAGTTGCCAAGGATTGAGTTTGCAGAGTGGAGTTAAATGTGGCTGTGTCACAGTATTACAATGGTCTTCTCCCTTTGGAGCCTCAAATAATGCAACAACATCCCCAAGGAACTGCCAACTTTTAACATGGTGTCTAATGATGTATGGGGAATAAAGGAAGCTATTATCAGTCAGAAGATGAGTCAGATATGAAAATAACACCTTTTTCTAGACAATGTTGTTACACTGAGGAAATGAAAAAGACTCATTTTCTTTTGCAAAGGAAGAGGTCTTGAGCATTAGAAATGCGCATTGCAGAGCCTGGTGCTCTTTGAGGGAGTTGCTCCAGTAAGTGAGCAAATCCCATCCCACCTTTTGCAAGTGTCCCCGCTGTGACACATTTTGGAGCATGGGTGCTGGGCAGACATTTCTGTGCTGGCCAGGAAAGGAACATCTAAGGCTCTGTCTGAAAAGCAAGATTGTAGCCCAAGGTAATTTGCTGCTGGTGATAGAGAGAGGAGAATGGAAAAATCAGTTCTTGGCTTAAAGCTGCATGCACTCAGAGAAACCCACACTGATCCTGGAGGGAATCCTGACACTCAGGGACATACTGCTGTCATTTTAACAAAATCTGCTGTACGTTACAAACCAGGGCTTCAGAAGGAAAAATCATCTTGGGGTTTTGGGGGACAATTTCCAAAGGGAGATAAATATCTCAAGGGAGATCAAACTATTGATCCCACTATTGATCCCACTGACTTTCACTGGTGTTTGTTTTCCTAACTCTCTTAAGAGACGTCTGCAAGAAAAGTGCTTTGTTTGTATGTGAATAGAGCTATGCTGTATTGATGGTGGTCCTTCTTTGGATGTAGTAGCATCCATAAAGTCCTGCTGGGGTTAGTGCAATAAAGACAGCCAGCCCAATGCAAGTCCAGATAGAAGCCTTACAAGCCATACTAGCCATTCACTTGGATAATTGTATCTTGCAACAAGGAACAAGCCCTCTCCTTTGCATAGCTTTAGTTTTTTGGGCCCATATACTGGGCACAGTTGTTCTGCAGCTCTCCAGAAATGGGCTGGGATTCTGTGTTTCCAGTAAGACCCACAGGGACTGTCCATGAGGCTTGTCTGCTGTTCCCCTCAGTCACTTATTTGCCTCCATGGCTCTCTGGAAGGAACATGGGAAGATGTGGCATTTTTGCATCATTAGCACAAATCCCAGAGCGGGAGGAACATACCACCCTTTAACCGTTTCCTCTGTGCATCTGTTTGACCATGTTGCTTTTTTGCCCCATAGCCGGAAGAGCTGACCAATGCCTTGGAGATCAGTAACATCGTCTTCACAAGCATGTTTGCCCTGGAGATGCTCCTGAAACTTCTTGCCTTTGGTCTCTTTGGTTACATCAAGAACCCGTACAACATCTTTGATGGGATCATAGTTGTCATCAGGTCACTACCAGTTCTTTCTGCACTGTAGTTTTTCTGCCGAGGGCTCAGACCAGTTGGGGAGTGGCACGGGGAACAGGAACGATGTGGCATGTGTTAATCCAGGGCTCGCTGGCTATGACGTGCTGGCCTTTTAGATTCCTGTTATTAGAAGGGCTGTCCAAAGTAAATGGACCTGGCAGATGGAGAACAAAGTCTATTTATGCCACACATCTGGCACTGTGGTCAGTTTTCCACTGAAGTGCAGAATGGCTGGTCCTGGGAAAGGAGTACTGTGAGTGTTCATATCCCAGCAGCATGCCCTCCCTCACCCGAATTAACACGTAACCCAGGCCAAAATAGGGCAAGCAGGAGGGTAAGAGAGGGCACTGCTCTGCTGTCCTCTCCCAGGGGAGCACTATCCCAGCCTAAACTGGGGATGTCACAGCACGTGGATGAGAAGCTTGTGCAGCACCTCTCTGTGCTGGGATTCTTTCTAGCAGTGCTGTTCACCTCTCGATCAGTAATTTGGGGCAGAGAAGTCAAGGGAGACATAGAAGGTGTACAGCAGGATAGTGCTCTGGCTTCAGTTGGCCCATCCCTTTGATTCAGAGAAGTGAGGAGCAATAGAGACCCAGAACAAAGGCCAGTCTGTGGCCTGATCAAACCAACCCACCCCAACAAATGTAAATCCCTCCTGATATTAGCTTGGTACAAAATTGTGATGCACATTTTGTGGCTAGGCTTGTGACTGATTGTAGTGATGCATGCTATCAGGAGACATGCTGTGTTGTGAAGAGCCACAGAAAGCAAGGGAATTAAAGAATTAAGAAACCAGCTATAAAGGATACAGGTTGTGCATGAGCATGTGTGTCTGCACAACTGGGAAGTGAAGGTGTTTTTCAGAAGCCAGAAAGTAGCAGGCAAATGAACTACCCCTTTAGGGCTTAAATGGTGTGATATCATCTAAGAAACCGGACTGCTCAGGGCTTTCACAGTACAGTGATATACTGTTTATAATTCTTCTCCTTCTGGTGTTCCTGCAGCGTCTGGGAGATCATCGGACAGTCGGATGGAGGCCTCTCTGTGCTACGAACTTTTCGGCTGCTCCGGGTGCTGAAACTGGTGCGTTTCATGCCCGCCCTCCGTCGCCAGCTGGTGGTCCTGATGAAGACAATGGACAATGTAGCCACCTTCTGCATGTTGCTCATGCTCTTCATCTTTATCTTCAGGTACCAGAAGCTGCAGCTCTTCTTTGATAAATTGTTCATCTTGCTTAAGTAACATGTAGATTAGAATAACGATATACTGCATTTGCTAGGCTGCCTACACGATAGAAGTGCTCACAATAGACTGACAAGCAGATGCTCAACAGACTATTTGCCTCTTTTTGGTCTCATTTTTTCATGCAGTGTTGTAATTCTGTAGATGAATGAAGTGCCCAAACAGGCAACAATTGGTCTGGAGTTCCTGGGAGGCTCGTTTAGCTGTGTCTCAGGAAGCTGTCAGTAACTGGACTCTACCAGTGTTATATTTGAGATGGAGGTTGTACAGACTCCAAGACTTCTGTCTGTTTGACCCTAAAATGCTCCTCAGGATCCTGTTCTTGGAAACCTGTTGGATTAGAGAGTTGGCAATATGGTTTGTCATTTTCTAGACAAAGGAGATGCTTGATTTGACTTCCATGTAGACAATGAAATGTGACACAGAAGAACCAAATCGCAGGGTTTGATCAGTGATCATGTCAGTGGTGGAGCAGAGCCCTTCTTCCTGGGAGATACCACCAGCACACAAAACACTGCAGGGGGACAAAGTGTACCAAAAATCACTGCAGTCCCCCCTGCAACCATATTTCTCACAATAATGTGTTTCTTCCCTCTCCCTTTTTTCCCATTCTAGCATTCTCGGCATGCATCTTTTTGGATGCAAGTTCAGCCTGAAAACTGATACAGGAGACACAGTTCCAGATAGAAAGAATTTTGATTCCTTACTTTGGGCCATTGTGACTGTATTTCAGGTAAGCTCTGGATCCTCTGGGAAGTTTTAATGCAGGCCACTTGGACAAGTTCTTTCACCTTTTAAAACAAACTGTTCCAGTAGGTGTCAAATTTGGACTGAAATGGCACTGTAGAGTTATTAGGGCAAAGTGATTGTGTTTCTGATTTCTGAGTTAGCTGGTCTCTGTAAGCCCTGGTAGAGAAGCAATCTACAGCGCATGTCTGTTGTCAGCAAAAGTAAAGTCTACGAAGGGCTGAAAATCCACCCTATTTTCCTTTCATATAGTCAGTAAGATCAAGACCCACAGTCTACTGTCTACTCTGCTCCTATTCTGTAGACCTCTATCTCCTTACTTGCCTTCACTGCCCCAAAAATGTACTTTGCAAACAATTTAATTTAACTGGGAGTGACAAATACTGTCACAAATCAGAGCTGGAGTTGCTGGCTGTATGTGCTGGGAAAGTCTTTATACAAAAAGTGTTTCCTCTGCAGACAAGATCTGTTATGTGCTTGAAATTACTGGCATATTCCACAATGGAGCAATAAGCTGCTATTTCCAGGGCATTCTAAATATAAAGATTAGTCTTTTCTGTTTAAAAGCTCAGTCCTTAGAGCCCAAGTGGAGCACAGAGTAAACAATGTTAAGCTAAGTTTCTAAATGCAGAGTAGGTGTTCATCACAGTATCGTTCAAGGTACAAACCAGTCCAGAGTCTTCACTGTGAAGAACGTAACTTCTTACAAAGTTTTCCTTCTTACAAAGGAGCAAGGGGAAATCGGCATTAGTGTCACAGGTTCATATTTCTCTTTTACCAACATAAATACAGATTTCTGCATTTATTCTAGCAGTCCCATGGGCAAATAGAGTTGGCACAGTGCACAAGGGCTCAGTCCTACATCCCGTGAAGGTTAATGAGTGGCATGACTCAGTGCAGCTGACTGCATTCCTATCCCCAAAGCTACCTTGTTTTTAGGAGAGCTAGAGGCCATTTTCATGGATCTGTCATTCATTTTTCATAGGCCCCTGGTTTTTCTGAGCTCCAGGAAGGCTAGGAGAGTGGGATTCCCTGAGGAAGGTCCCTTGGGGCAAGGCTTTGCAAAGATGTGTATTTTTTTGCTCAGCTTGTCAGTGCTTTTACCTAATGGAAACCACTTTGCTTCCCTGAGTTTCTTGAGCCACCCCATGTCATTTCTCATGTTAAATATCACATCCCCTACCCTTTCCTTCAGCTCCAGATGCTTTATAAAGAGCTGCTTGAAAGGAGACAACAGCTCTGGCCTCAGGTCTGTTATCTTCTGATGGTTATCAGAGGAGGCAATACTGCCACCAAATAATGGGACTCGTACCAGCGCATCCTTCCTGTTACCATGTCTAGGATCTGAGCTAGTCATCTTTGTGGGCAGAAGTGTGCTAGATCCTCCTGCAGAGAAGGGAAGTTTGGCCAGGAGAGAGCTCTCACGTGCAAAGATCAAGTAAAGGAATGTTTGCTGTCTCATCTCATGAGACCTGTTAATGATTATGTTCAGAAAAGGTCAAAAGGAGAGGAAGAAATGGATGAGTCAGTATTTGAATGCAGCTGCTGTGCATGAGAGGAGTGGAGTAATTAGAGAGTCTTCCCCTTCACCTCTCTGCAGATCCTCACTCAAGAGGACTGGAACGTGGTCCTGTACAATGGGATGGCATCTACATCCTCATGGGCAGCACTCTACTTTGTGGCCCTGATGACCTTCGGCAATTATGTGCTCTTCAACCTTCTTGTTGCCATTCTGGTAGAAGGCTTCCAGGCAGAGGTAAGAGGTCTGAGCAGAGGGAGGGAGAAAATGAAGAAGCACGTCTAGGCAAGAGTGTAGGGATGAATCCATGTCAGTGCAAACATCTAGCCATGCAAGCAGCTATAAATTTAAACTTAAGGCATGTAGATGAGCTGGGTTGGGCACATGAAGCTCTTGTGAATCTGTCTCTGCAAATAAGGCCCACTGGACTTGGCATGGGACTTGGGAGACCAACACTTTGGTTGATCTGCTACAGGGTAGGATGAATTTAACTCACCAAATCTCCCATATGTCCTGTGGTTTGTGTTTCTTTACGGTGGGCCTCAGACCTTCAATGTATCTAGCCAGTGCTAGTCATGGGGACCAGGTAGGACGTGAACTGGCCCTCAGTCCAGGCCTTTCCTTGTGACTCTGTCCCTTACCTGTTATTTGAGACTAGTAGCACAGCTGTTCAAAAGCTGTCTTGCAAGGTTACAAACATTAAGTTTTGAGATACTTAGGATGATGGAGGACATATAAATGCTAAAGAGATTTTTGCCTACACCTGAAAATAAGGTCTGTATCGAATCAATGAGCAGGGAATTTATGATAAACTGCAGGCATCTCATCTCATCTCACATGGAGAGGATAAGAGAAATGATTTTATTTCTCAGTTAAAAGTGGTATGGCATGTCCTGATCTGAACTGAGCAGGAACCTTAGCAGCTGTGCAGGCAAGTCCTGTGCCATGTGATCCAGAGCAGCAGGCCACACTGGTGTGAGTGGTGTAAGTGGTATAGTACTGGTGTGAGTGGGGAGCCCCTGCAATCTTTTAAGTTTTCCTCCCCACGGGCAGCTCCACTCCAGATCTCCTTTCAGCATCCTGAGAGAGTGAAACCAGCCATCCCTTGCCCTACTCTGCTCTTCTCCATCTTCCTTTCAGATCACAGCAAGTCCATTTGGGGGAGATTTTAAGGGAGAACGATCTGTTTCAGTTGTAAATATAACAATGTATGTGCACATATATATTATCCAGAAAAAAATTACTGTTTTCCAAGTCCTAGTGCAAACAGAAATTATTTTGAGACTTACCAAAAATTATCGAGTCCCAGGTAAAGCTAAGAAGAGTGTCATCGAAAGGGTTTACGTTGTGCTTTGGGATTTTTTAATTATTACTTTTTTATTTCTGCACCATCAAGAAGGGAAAGTTTTCTTAGTGCTGGATTGCCTTCAGAGACACACAGACGCAGAAAGAAAATGAGAAAATGGCTTCAGTTTTCACCGCCTTAGCTCCCAAGGGACAGAGGAGAAGGCAATTATTTTTATAGGATTTTTTTTCACTTTTCATTTTTCTTCCCAGAAATGGTATCGTGCTCTCATTTGCCATGTTTAGATCACACTTAGAGGAACCTTCGCTGACCATGGAATATAATTGAAATATTCACGGACCAAAAATTCCTTTCTCTTAAGGCAGCACAGCCACATTTATGTCTTTCAAGGATGTCTGCATACATTCATTTATAAAACATCCCTCCTAACTTACTCACAGCACTTGCAAAGGAAAATTAATTGAAAAAATAGGAGCCAAACCCCAGTTTGGAAAAAAACAACCCTGATCTACATCACTCAGGGCTGTTTCATGGATGTTGAGGGTGGTGAGTGCCACCTGCACATACAGAGAAGACACAAATCGTCCAGCTCATTGCTTTCAAAATGAACAGCTCTGCACTGCACTAGTGGGCATTTTAATGTCTTGTACAATGTGGTCCATGCCCTGAAGATGCAGCACAGGTGACCAAGAAGAGCAAGAGGTCTTTTCCCAAGAGCTAGTCTATGTGTCAGTGACTAGAGCTCATGCTGACACTGTTTATTTCCAAATTCCTGTAGTTTTCTCAGTGTCACTGATCTCAGCATCTCCTGGCTTTGCTCTGGATACTATAACACCTTTGCCATATTGCTATTCTAGTGCAACCTGCTGCAGGTGGAGGTGGATATTTTAGCTACTAACCTAGTAAGTCCAAAGCAAAGGAATTGCCACTATTTCTACAGGCTCTGCAGTAGCTGCTGTCTTCCAGCCCAGAAGGGGTTTTCCTCTAGGAGGGTCGTAGCTATATTCAGAGCGGTTGTGCCGGACCGCAGTTCTGCTAGAAAATGACACAGGCCATAGATTTTCCTGAAATGAATGCAGAAGCAACCAATAGAGTTGGCCATATAGCAGCTCAGAGTATTCAGCATAGAGTATTCAGTGGCCAGACATGTCAAATATCCTCAGATTCCATCAACCAGCAAATCTGGGTGGAAAAAGAGGACATGCCAGGGAAACCCAAACAGACGATGCATCTGTGACCCGACTGGCTGGAAACTGCTCCTGCTCAAGCAATCTTTCATTTAGGCACAGAGAGCCCTTGTACAGCAGTTTGCATCCTTTGTTCCTGATTGCTTTAAAGCAGAAGAAACTTTTCTCCTCTTGGCAACCTGGCAGCTTGCAGGTATCTTTGTACAGCAGAGATCCCATTCCTTACCTGCCCTCTTGGAGGTTGAATCACCTGCTAATGTGAAGCCAGAAATGGGCAGCCTCGTGCAATACTCTCTGAGTGCATGATTACTGACCTAGCCGAATGGCTGTCGTTTTCTTGCTCAGGCTTAATGGCTCCTTTCAGAGCTCTTATGGACCATGATTTAAATGTGCATGAGGAGTAGTTTTCCAAGCTTGTATTACTCACTCAGTGCTGCCTTAGAAAAGGCCAGCAACCACAGGGATGACATTTGCAGGGCATATTTTGCTCTCCACTTCCATTTATTATAAATCCTGACATTAAGCCTATGGGCTTGTCAGTTGTCTCATAGTGAGGGATTAGCTGTGTTACAGAAAACCCTTCTCAGGGCTGTATTTCAGCTACCAGGGCTCAATTCAAGTCTTGCACTTATAAATGCATAACTTAGCTCTGGTTGTAAACCAAGGATATTTACAGTCTGCTTGAACAAATCCCAGGAAGAAGTATCAGTGGAGCTGGGTTTTCTTTTGTCATCCCTGGTTCTGTTGGATGTTGGGAATATGGCAGAAATTCTTGGTTTGACCTCTTTGACTTTGCCATCTTACAGGGTGATGCTTTTAGCAATTATAGGAGACACTGAGGTGCACTTCTCCTCCCTTTGCTCAGGTGTTTCTTCTTCTTAGATGGAGAGTGGCTCCTGGGAGACTTGTACAGCTAAGAGGGTGCACATTAGAGCTGCTCTAAGCTCTGAACCATCACTGGCATTTCAGCAAGAGCACTAAAAATTGTACTGTGAATCACAGTACACAGTCTCAGCTTGTTCTCAGGCTCTGATCTGCCTATGGAGCAAGTCTGGCAGGAGTATCCCTAGAAGAGAATAAGCTTAAATGGCCACAAAACCATTTTTAGTACATTTGTGCTTAGGACAACAAGCAGCCAGACTTCAAACAGGACCATAATTGCATATTTGTGCTTACATTGTTCCCATGTCATTTTGAAATCTACCCCAGAGCTGCTCTGAAAAAGCAGAGAAACCTTCCAAAATAATGCAAATCTTTCATCTACTCTGCACTAGTGGTTCTGCTCCAAAACAGAGACGATGAATAAGGGAGCTTAAGCCTTTTGGTCATCCTGTCTGTTTGGCGACACCAGTTAGCAATACATCACAGATGAAATTAAGTTCACTGCCACTTCAGCACCATGTCTCTAGAAACCATGGTGATTTGTTCAGGTACTAGTTGAGGAACTGTGCTTCTTTTTCTGGGATCAGCTGCTTTAATCCAACCATTGCTATCAATTTGCACAGCTTTTCTGTGGTCTTGATGGATCAAGCCAGAGTCATGCCGGCAGCCTGCTGGAGTCTCTCCTCTCTGCAGACCTCCCCCAGCAGAGGAGAACCTGACAGTAGCTTTTCTGTCCCAGGCTTGTACATTATTTAGGCTGGTCATTTTTGGTAGCAGAGGCAAATATATTTGAAAGGGAAAAATAACTGGACTTCCGGGAGGAAAGCCAGTCTGAGGGTGGTTGGCTGTTTTCTGTCCTGAGATGATGCTGTGCTGCCAGGAAAGCTGGCCTCATTCCCTTCTGGCTCAGCTTCAATGTTGCCAAGAGATTTCCCAATACCATCTCAATTACCAGCCAGTGTGAAGAAAGCAGATTAGGGCTGGGTTTTCAGATCTAAGTCAAATTTACAGTGCTGTCAAATAAAGAAGAAAAACCCTTTGACATCCTTTGAATCCTTAAAACCTTAGTGCTTTCAGCTGGGATCATGAAGAGTGCAAAAATGGAATCCCACAATGCCAAGTTTTTTAGTCACTCTTGATTACAGCTGCACTTCCATGTTCTCCCCTGGGATACACTGTTCAGTGGGGCTGGGCACAGTGTAGGAAACACAACAACATTGCAGGAACAGTAGTCGCAATCACATCATCCTTTCTGTCGAAGTACAAAAATGAATCAAAGCAAGGAAGAGGGACCTGCCTGGGGTCATTCCTCAGGGCAGTGTCAGAGGGAATTTGGCATTCTGCCCTCCTAGTTCTTGGGGCCACACTTAAACTAACCATGGGGAGCTGAGGTATCTCTGAGCTGCTAAATAATCCAAATGGCCTTTGTGGTAAAGTTTAAACAAATTGGGCCTGTTAATTATCTTTCTCCTTTCTGCAGGGTGATGCCAATAGGTCAGACACAGATGAGGACAAGACATCTGCCAACTTTGATGATGATTTTGAGAAGCTAAAAGACCTCCGAGCAACAGGTAGAATTCTGCATTTTCCTGGGAATCTGAGAACTACAACTCTGCTTCCACAGTCATCTTTTCATAGAAACTTACGGGGAAAGTGGAAGAATCCATTTTATTTGGCAATTAATCTGATAACTATGTTAACACAGCAGCTATGCAGAAAGTGTTGGGAAAGCTAAATGAGCATTGATACTTCCTTTAAACAGATGTTCTTCTAATTTAAACTATACTAGAATATTTAGATATGTCTCATCATTTCTTCTGTATCATTACCATGGAATGGTTTTCTGACAGCAATATTCTCACAGTACTTCTCAGCAGCTTTTCAAATCAATCACGTTCTCATCTGTTCTTTTTGGTTTCTCACACAAATGCATTTAGGTGAGGTTTGATTGATGGAAATGTTGCTGTTCATTTGTGTTACAGGAGGGCCTGGCAATTGATTTGAGGTAAGGCCACTGTGTACTGGTGTAATAAAAACATGGAATAGTAGGTGACAGCCTTCACTCTGTAGAGTTTGCAGCCAGACAGGTGACAGGAAGGGTTCACGTATTTTAACAATGAATAGCGTGATGGTAATCAGGAGCCAGTTTAGTTCCTCTGTACTTTGATTCTCAGCTTCGGCTCTTGTTAGGTTTATGCTTCTAAACCAGGATTTGTTTCAGCTAAGGAAATGATACTGATTGCGGTGTGCAGATGGAATTCAGCTGAGGAAGCAGCAGAAGTAGTTTGTTGGGGAAGCTGAGACAGAGCTGGATCACAGCAAGGTGATGGAGCTGCTCAGCCTGCAGATGAAGCAACAAATTCCAAACACCAAGTGATCAAATGAATGTCCATTGCAAATAGTTGGCAAGGAACCCACACCACCAACTATGCACCAGCTTTGCACCAACTATTTGCTGAGCAGCTTCAAATAATAAGAAAGTTCTAGGGGGAACAAATATGGTCACCTCTTCCTAGGTAATACAGGAATAGAAAACAGGGCTGAACTTGTCATCAGTCAAAGTCCGTGAGTAATTGTGTGTCTCCATAAGCCTCATAGGTGCCAACCGGTGACTAAACAGCACAAGGACATTAACAATTCTATTACAATGCCATTGGTCTGTAAACAGATACACTGGCAAGAGAAACATGTTTGCAGATTAGCAAATTTTGAGCTGGATCTTCCACCTCTCAAAGTGAATGGCAGTGTTCCCATGGACTTCTGTGGTGCAGAAGGTATTTGTGCACAAGCCAGCAACTAAACAGATGATACAATAGAAGCACACTGCATTACAAAAGCAGCCAGTGGAAGAAAAATAGGAGCAGTAGTGCACACACTTGGATTTCTCACTGCAGACTTCTTTCCTGCTGGTCACAGATGCCCCCGTCCTTCCCCCTCCTTAAGAGATTCTGCAGTTATTAACCCACTAAGCTTAGTAAAGCAGGAGCTAGTTCAACTTTAGTTTTGTGTTTGAAAGTAGGCTTTTGCTTTTGAGTATTACGTCACTCCATAGGGCTGGAGGTGTTATGTCTGGTTTGTCTTCAGTGTGAATACAGTTTTTGCAGTCTGTACTTGCCATACAGCTAAAATAGATGCTTTCTGCAATTACCCCAGAGATGTGCCATTAGATTTCTCTGTTATAGGAGGATTACTCTTCTAAACCAGTGCATGTGTAAAAGCAACTTCCATTTACTATCCCCTGAACAGATAACTAAAGACTAATGTCTGCGTAGTGCCTTCCCCATGAAGGAACATAGAGCACATCAGAACTGCATAAAAATCTCTGTGCAAGACTGTATGACAAGGAGAAGAGAATAACTTCTTAGGGTGAATTTAGCCAGTCCTCGATGTTCTTTCCCTGGAAACTCTCTCCCAGCCCCCCAAAACCTCACTCTCTAAATCACAAGATACAGTGAGCAAAAGAAATTTCCTTTGGAGGGCAATGAGTTCCAAGTCCTGGCAGGGCTGAAGGCCTCTTAAAAGGTTGTGGCATTTGCCTTATGCCTTTCAACGTGGTGTGGGTGTTCTTATTGCCCACAGCATTTCATCTCCATTTAGCAGAGTTCCTAGAAGACCCAAGGAGCAATGTCCCTTTTGAAGAGTGATTTCTGTAGCTGTAGCTGAGCATTCACCTCGTATTCTTTCTCCCCTTCTCTCCAGAGATGAAGATGTACTCACTTGCCGTCACCCCAAATGGACACCTGGAGGGCAGGGGAAGCATGCCACCTCCTATAATCATGCGCACTGCTGCCACACCAATGCCCACACCGAAGTGTTCCCCACACATGGATTTAGTGCACACTTTTGTGGACTCGAGGAGAGGGAGTAATGCTTCGCTAGACCCCTTGAGCTATGATCAGAAGTCCTTGGTAGGTTCCTGTTGCTAACAACTCTCCCTCAAGTGCCTGCAAGCAGCACAGATGATATATATGTGTGTGTATACGTGCACATGTGTGTATATGTGCACATGTTGCTGGAAAATAAAAAGGAGGGCGACAGAGATAAGTATGTGGACAGGCAGGAGGAGAACAGAGTCAAGAGGGAGAAATGAATGGGTGTGCTATGCTGGGGCAGGACAGTGACAACATAACAGTCAAGGACAGTATATGAAGAGGGGAAACGGAGGAAAAAAGGTATGACCTGACCGATTGCCACCAGGCACAGCTCATGGAGCAGAGATCTGGCTGGAGCTGACTGCTTTGGCAGCTGATTGCATTTGGCCTGCAACGGGAGCAGGAGGGCAGTTCTATGAAAACAGAGGGAGCAGAGTTAATAGACAAAGTGGTTTGCTGCTGCTGCGTATCTATCCCATTCCTCTGCCCTGTAACTGCAATATCATGTTCAAATCAAGGCAGCGGACCATGAAGGCACTTCACACAGAGACAGAGCAACTATCCCCTTTGGTAAGCTGCTTAGTCAAGGTAATGCTTTTGAAAAGAAAATAGAGATGGCTGTTGTTTGCCTTGGGGTTTCATGGGATTGTGAGCTGCTGGAGAGGGTTGTTCATCGTTTGAATCCTTTCTCTGAGAGCACATCAGTGCCACCAGCAAAAGGAAGATGAAGCAGTCAGAGGAGAGCTGGCCAACACTGAGAAGGAGGAGGAAGGCAGTTTGCCTCATTTTGTGCTGGGAGGAAGCCATGGAGAGAAAAGGATTTTTCCTTCTAGCCTTTCCGCTCTGACCTTAAGTGCTCTCATCCTCACACCTACCTACCAGCCAAAGTGCACTGACACACTGATCAGTGCCAGAAATTTGCTGTAAAAGAAGCATTCATTCCACCTTCTTATGCAGCAAATTGAAGACAAAGTAATACAAACAGGGGCACAATTTCCAACAGACACTCGTGAGTCAGGTGCCAGAGCCCCTGGGAGCCAGGGGAGTTGTGTGCTGAAACCACTTGAACATGAGGAAAGAAAATGCCATGTCAGCAATAGTGTCTTTGGGTTCAGTTTTTATGCACAGTTAATGTTGCCAGGACAGTAGGAAGTCATGCAGCACAGAGGATTGGTAGCTGTGCTACAGGTGTAGTTCAAAGCGCACCTTCAGTGTGGGCTTAGCTGGGTGCTTGGCTCCCATCTCAAGGTATTGTCATGATAAAATTGGAGCAGTGAGAAAAGCTGGACGGGGAAGACATGCCTTGCAAGAAGAAGGGTCTTCCAGTCTGGGCAAAATGCCATATCCTTTGGCTTCCTCCAGCAAACAAACCCTCAAATGTCTTTCTCCTCTCTCAGTCCAGCCTCCGCAGTTCCCCTTGTGCCAACTGGGGCACCAGCAGCAACTGGGGAAGCCGACGCTCAAGCTGGAATAGCCTGGGCAGAGCCCCAAGCCTCAAGAAGAAGAACCAGTCAGGAGAAAGAGAGTCCTTGCTCTCCGGGGAGGGGAAAGGCAGCACAGACGATGATTCCGATGACGCCAAGTCCAGCACGGTCAGCAGGCCCTCGTTGCACCGCCGGGCAGAGTCCCTGGACTACCGCAGCTCCCTGGACCTGCCCGAGCTGCTCCAGTTGCCTACCATGCGCCACTCACTCAGTATCAGCCCCATGGCCGTTCTGCCTGCCGAGTACCAAGACTGCAATGGCAAGATGGTTCATGTCCCCAGCGAGTTCTTCCTGCGTGTCGACAGCCACAAGGAGGATGCCATGGACTATGACGACGATATGGAGGATGTGAGTTGAGGGGGAAACTGGGTGCTCATGCGTTAAGTGGCTTTTCCAATCCAAGAAGGCTGATTAAAAATCCAGCTTGGAAATGTTTTACTGCCTAATGGCTGGGGTAGACAAAACGAATCCAGATCTGAAGGATGGGCCTCCACTTCCCAAAAGGTGGGGGCTTTTTTAGCTAATGGGTTGGGCTGTTGCACTGCAGTGATCTCTAATGATGTAAAACTGCAAGGGGATGTGCACACATTTGCCTAGTTTTTGGACTGATTGAAATTGTCCCCCTTGCCCAGGATGCCTCCAAAACTGAGCTATAGGCAAAAGAGCTAGGTAATGTCTTTGCTAACAAGAGCTGTTTGGCATCTCGAGGCTCGAAAGCCTAGAAAGAGGGTTCTCTACTTAATTTTTGTTTGTTTGAGGCCCTTTTGGTTTTGACACAACTTTGGATCCCAAAATGATACCTGCCTAGGAGTCTTGCTTTGAGCAGCCCCTTTCTTCCACCCCTTTCCTCCCTGTTTTGTTGGACAAAGGTGACAACACCTGCCTTGTCCCAAAAGCCATGACTCCCTACAGGCACTATGAAATGCCATGTGTTGCCCCCTTTCACAAAAGAACTGTGAAAGTTGAAGAGGCAGAAAAATGAAAGAGGAAGAAAAGGTGTTTCTTCTTTTCTATCCAGAGTTACTGCTACCGAATTCGTAAAGTCCTGGAGCCCTACAAACCACAGTGGTGCAAGAGTCATGAAGACTGGTCCCTCTACTTGTTTTCCCCACAGAATCGGTAAGAAATCCCAGTGAAATGCCAGCCCACCAGTTTTTGTTGTAACGGAATATTACATTTCTAGCCAGCCTTCCTTTGAGAAAAATCCCTCTCTGATGCAGAAGCACTGAGAGTTTTAGAAATCCAATTTCTGATTTTTAGGTAACTTTTTCTGTTACACATGGGCAGAATTGTTGCATGGTTCATTCTATGCCTGTCTAGGAAGAAGGGAGGTTTCACCATCATTAATAATAGCTGTTATTACATCTTCTTTACTGGATTGATAATAAAGACTGAAGCTTGTGGAGAGACTAGTTCACCAGCTGGGCTGATGCTGGTGGCACAACTGCTGAAGACATGTCATTCAGGTAGGAGTCTCTTGCTGACCCAAACATCTGAAGGATATTTTTCTCCCCACCGTTTCTTCAGGTTCCGAGTGATGTGCCAGAAGGTCATTGCCCACAAAATGTTTGATCACGTGGTGCTGGTCTTCATATTTCTCAACTGCATCACTATAGCACTGGAGCGACCAGACATAGACCCACACAGCACAGTGAGTACCTAAGTCATTTTCTTCCTTAATCCAGATCTTAGTCTTGTCAGGGCAAGACCCTGCAAGATGAAGGATGTTTGTTTTCTAACGTCTTTAAATAACTTGCCTCTTTCTGTTGTTCCGTGTTTTACAGGAAAGGATATTCCTAAGTGTTTCTAATTACATCTTCACTGCAATCTTTGTGGCTGAAATGATGGTTAAGGTAATTACATCTTCATCCCATGGCCCATAGTGAGGGCTGGCAAAGACCAGAACATGACATAGTTATGATCTGGGTGAAGATTTAAATGTCTGTCTTCTCCTGGCTGTAGGTGGTAGCTCTTGGCTTTTTCTCTGGGGAGAACACCTATCTGCAGAGCAGCTGGAACGTCCTGGATGGAGTCCTGGTCTTTGTATCTATCATTGACATTATTGTCTCCATGGCATCGGCAGGCGGAGCTAAGATCCTGGGTGTCCTTCGCGTTTTGAGACTTCTGCGGACCTTGAGACCTCTCCGGTATGTTCACCAATAGGGTGGATGAGTTCGCTTTGTGTTGATAGATCAAGGAGTTTGAAAACATGCACATATTCCATCAAGGTCTTGCTTAGTAACACAAAAAGCTGAAACACAGTATGGGTATAATCGTCTTTGGGGAGCTCTTATCTAGTGAAACTGTTTGAAAATAGTGAAATTAATTATAATACAATTCATCTTCGCTAGCAAGGAAAAGAGCGGATGGAGTTTGGAGTGAGAGGTATTATCATGCTCAGGCAGTTAGTGCAGTAAATGCCTCCTCCATGCTGCATTTTTATCACCGTTTTACAAATCAGTCTGGCTTCTTGTTAAACCACACAACCTCACAGTCATTCCCAAGCAAAGAGGTTGCGTTGGCTGGGAGAGAATTTGCAATTGAACAGGTGCTGACAATAATTTGATAAGCTCCAGCATCTCTACCTGCTGTCCTGTGCCTGCATATCTAATGTTACTGCAAAACAATTTAGCGCTCAGCTAGGAAGAAGAAGGGGAGACACTTTCAGTATTTGAGAAAAGGAATAAAGAACATTTGTATTTTGTTTACGATTATGCAATAACAAAGAGTGTTAATGCTTGGGGGATTTTTATCAGCGCACGACTCCTGTTCTATTTCCAGCCTGCTTGGCAAGAAACACAAACCTTTTTACATGAAATTTCAGGGGAAGTAAGATAGGCACCTCCTGAAACGTGTAGGCTTTCTGATGAAAAGCAGCTTGCTTATGAGACTAATAGGAAGAGGCAGTCTTATTTAGGCCCATGACCACAAGAACAACAGCTATTTGTCTGCTGCTCTGTATTTCCTTAGTGACAACTGACTTTCTGAGTGTTTCTGTCTCCTCTCTTGCTCCCATGCTCTGTTTTGCTGGTGGCCACGAGGTCCCCTTGCAGTCCTGGCTCACCAGGAGCCACTCTGGGTCACCCTGGACAAGCCTTGGCCTGGCAGCACCTCAGGGCACCTAACACACATAACTAGGAACAGAAATCGGGGCATAGGCAATTCATAAGTAAATGTAAGGGGAAAAAAGGGAATTGGTCTTGGAGAATAACTAGGCCAGATCCTATTAATAGAGAGGAATTCATCACCTGTCACGACAGCTTCACTTATCACAGCCTCTTCTAGGATAGTCCAGGGACCACTGCTAACGCTTTGTAGGTGTAGTTCAGACTGCCACATTATTTGCTGCCAAACAAGACCCTATTGAAATGCTTTGTCCCTGCAGCATACAACCCTCCTCTTTGCTCTGTGTTTGGCAGGCATGAAAGCATCATTAGCCATGCAACCTCAAGCTACCTGCAAGGACTCATACCCTCTCCCCTCTACCAGCACCTCCTAAAAAAAAGCTTTGATGTTCTTTGGTCAAAACACCCACCTTCCCAGAAAAGCTTGCTTGGGCTAGTTACACTTATGTGTGCAAACACCTTTTTCACACACCCATGGGAGAGCTGTTCTCCAAGCACTCATACAGGAAAGAAAAACACTTGTTCTCTGTAATACCCAAAAGCTGCTTCAGGCTGTGCTTGGAGCATGCCTGGCCTCTCACAGCCCCGCAGAAAGCAAGCTTCTCTTTAATGGGATGACCCTTTGGCTGTGGAGCTGTTGATCACAAGTTCCTGTTAGCTAAGAGTCAGTTCAGGAACTAATTAGGAAACAAATTGAAATTACTTTGTTTGAAAAGTTGTCATGGGGCCCAGACCAGTAGGGCAGGTGAGCACTTGTGCCTGTAGAAAGAGGACAAGACATGCTCTCTAGTACCACTGTGAAGCTGGTTACTCATGTTATGTTAGGAAGCAGGCTCCTGCCTGGCGTGTGTCCCTCTGCTTGGATCAGAGAGACCTCAGAGGGGATCAGCTCTCTGCACTTGAGGTACAAATAGCTCTGTGGTAGGAACCTCTGTGATATTTTGCCTTTAGAGACTATTCCCTCGTCACTGTTACTAGTAAGCAGTTGCCCAACACCCTGCTGACAGGGTATCTTACACTTTTTTAATTCCATCTAACGCAACTGTGAATGTTCTGGTTGTCCAAATAAGTCACTAATCATCTCTGAATGCTGCCTGGAGGTAGAGGAGGGTTGTGTTAGCTTTACTGCAGCCCAAGCAGAGGAGGAAAAGCAACCATATGATAACAGGGCATGCGTAAAAAATAAAAGCTTTATTGTTTTGCCATTTTTTCCAGAGTCATCAGCAGAGCCCCAGGTCTGAAGCTGGTGGTAGAAACCTTGATCTCCTCTTTGAGGCCTATTGGGAATATTGTTCTCATCTGCTGTGCTTTCTTCATTATCTTTGGGATTTTAGGGGTCCAGGTACAGTATTTCCCTCACCACAGCCATCTGTAAGTGACTGCTGCAAAAGAGAAACTGTTTTTCTCACCAAAGAGAAAAGGTGGAAGTGATAAGCTTAAATTTCTCCAAAGGAATATTTCAGTTAGGTATTAGGAAAGAAGAGACAGGCCCTAGAAGAAATGCTTTTGGGTGGGGTTGGCATCTGCTTCATTGGAAGGTTCTCAGGGTTGGAAGAGCAGACCTCCCTGATGAACAGCATAGCACCAGCTAAGCCTGCCTGAGGGTAGGGGAAGGAAAAGACAAATTCCCAAGATCCCCCCTGGCTCTGTGTGCTAGGATGTATATAATATCTCTTCCACAGATGGGAGATTGTTATCCTCCCATCAAGACAGAGCAGGCCTGCAGGATCACCTTCCTTCCGTGGCTGAGGCATTACACAACAATGTCTCAGGACCTGAAGTTTCACCAGAGGTGTTTTCCTCTGGTGTTAACCATGTGTGTTAAGACAGGTAGCTGAGCTGGAAGGAAAGGAATCTGAACTTGACAAACAAGGGGAAAGAAAGATAAATCAGGGGACAGACTTTTCAAAGCTGCTGCTTTTTAGGTTTTTGTTTTTTGTTTTTTGTTTTTGCTTCTCAAATACAGCTTTTTAAAGGCAAGTTCTACTACTGTGATGGTCCTGATGTAAAAAATATCACTACAAAGACTGACTGCACTAACGCACGCTACAAATGGGTTCGGCGGAAGTACAATTTTGACAATTTGGGACAGGTAAAGTCCTCATTGCAGGGATTTTCTGTACCAGTTTTTAATGGATGAGCACTTAAAATGTGTTCCTTGAGGAGGGTGTGGAACCTCTGTCATAGGAAGTTTTCAAGAATGACGTAGGCATTCATCTATCAGAAGCATGCCTAACTGTGTAAAAATGGATCAGATCACCTCTTGATCTCTTGCACCCAGACTTCCTAGGGTTATACAATTCCTTGTTTATAGGAGAGTGTTGTCTTAACGCCACTGCTTTTGCATGCAGTCCTGATGCATGGACCTCAACTGTCACTTTTAGTCTCGATTTCTAGCTGTTATGTTTGCAAATGAAAAAAATAAGTTGCTTTATACTGGCTGAAAAGCAAGACAGCCATAGTAGGACCCAGAATATATTATTGCTTTTTAAAACCCCCTGACATTGGGCCAGCCTGACATAGTGATTTTTAATCATGCTTTGGTGACCAGAAAGCCTGATGTGTCTGAGCAAAAGTCAGCCTATATGTGAGGGAAAAGGAGCATTAACAACCATAGTTTGCTCACTTTTAAGCCAGATACGGAAACAGGTAAAAGCAAGCCACAATATGTTCATTTCTCCACCAACTCCAAGCCAGATGATATGTTATGAGTTATGGATTTGCTGAGCATTGTCTGTTGTTAGTTTCTTTTCTGGGGACTAAAATGCAAGACCAGTGTTTTCTGTTTGTTTGTTTTCTTATAGGCCCTCATGTCCTTGTTTGTCCTCTCCTCCAAAGATGGCTGGGTGAACATCATGTACGATGGTTTGGATGCCGTGGGTATTGACCAACAGGTACATGTACTGATGTGATACTCTGATGTCTAGATGTGATACTCTTAGAAGTCTCATGCCTGGGTGACTCTGATGCTTTTGAAGTCCCAGAATGAGCACAGCTATAGGACCTTCTTGAGGTCCTGACTGCCCACTGGGCTGCCAAGGTTTTCCATTCTCCAATGAATAGCTTTTACAGTGGCTGCGCCCCATGTAGTACACAAACAAGCATGGGGTTTTTAATTAGAATGATGGTACTTGAGAAGTGCCAGATGTGCCATTGCACTGCGGCTTCACGGAAGGCATGATGAATAAAAGCAAACTCACACGAGGTGGGAAACGACCAGGAATGCTGTGAAAGAGACATTGTTAAGTTTGTGTGTTAGGTGGCATTTGCAAAGGAAAGTCAAGAGTCTTAGATGAGTAGTACCCCATCATAGCTCCAGTAACAGCTTGTACTTTATTTTCCCCTGCTTCTGAGGATCTCATACAACAGAGAAACATTAACTATGAGCCCACATCTCAGAAAAATAATCTGGAGCCTATCTTTAACTAAAATGATCTCTCAGGTGGAATGATGCACATCCACTGAGATTTATCTTAAGCTGTATGAAATAAATGCCAAAACAATTAAACACTGTAAGCCAGTTTACGGAGGCTAGAACAGGTTTTACAATAAAAGTAAAATTCTAGTTGGTGAGAGAGTGAATGAGAGGAAATTGTTTTGGGAAAAATCTCTTAACTCCTCTCAGGCCATTCCTCCCTGCTCCAAAAATGTACTGTGCTGTCTTGTTGCTAGAGAGTGCTCAATATTCTGACTTACACACATCTTATCTATGCTGCTTCTCTCCTGTTTTCTAATTCCCCACCTCACCAGCCCATCCAGAACCATAACCCTTGGATGCTGCTCTACTTCATCTCCTTCCTGCTCATCGTCAGCTTCTTCGTGCTCAACATGTTTGTGGGGGTGGTGGTGGAGAACTTTCACAAGTGCCGACAGCACCAGGAGGCGGAGGAGGCCCGGCGTCGGGAGGAGAAGCGGCTGAGACGCTTGGAGAAAAAGCGCAGGAGTAAGGAGATATACCTGTCTGGTCGGTAGACTGCGTTACAAACCAAAATCTTTCTGAGCCCTGCCTGCTCCCAAAGCAAGACTTTCATTTTCCTTTGGTTTTGTTTCCATGGGATTCAAGAGGCTGGTTTGCTTCGTTACCTCTTTGGCGGTACCTTAAGTCTTGGGTTGCCAACACCCTGGAATTGTCCTCTACAAGCCTGATGTAAAGCATTACCTGTTTACTTGGCTGGGGAGAAAATCCTCCTCCAGGCAGAGTCCTCTATCATGTTCTGCAAGGCAAAGTTGTCCCAAGCACCGAGCGGGAGCTTGCGGTGTGACTGAGGGATGCAGTGAGTAAACAGCTGCAATGCTTACTGTGTGTGTGAAGGCCAGTCCCGAGGGTAGCCCTGTGGCTTAATGTGCCTCTTGCATCTGATGATGGTGGTGGTTTGATTTATTAATTCTTTTCTTAGACAAAATAATTGTGATGCTTTTTAGAGTCCTAGCGCATGACCCCGCATGCCACAAACATGCTGCATGAGGGCATGAACAACGACAGCCCTGGGGAGACGAATGGAGCCCCAGGATGGGGTTGTCCAGAAAATTCTTCTCTGGAAGATGTCCATTACAAGAGATGCTTGCCCCATCACAGGCTGGGGGAGCCTTTCACTGCTGAGCAATGTGCTGGGAGTCAGTTTGTCCTTGCAAAGAGTCTACATGCAGGCTGATGCAGGGCCATTAGGGTGCAAAAGAAGGCCTTTAGCTGAAATCCGCTTAATGGATATAGTAGGAACCATCAAACCAGACCACAAAAACACCTGAGCTTGTGCTCCTTTCCTGACCCAAACTTTCCCAGGGGTTTTCATGTATTAATTCTCACCTCTACTGCTCCTTGGCAGGCTCCACCAGGGACAAACTGCCTATAGCATCTGGTGGGTATTCCCAGGGAAACTGCCAGGAAACCAGCCACACCGACTTCCCAGCCAGTTTTAGTGATCAGGGGTAGCCTGCACTAGATGCTGGCAAGCATTTTTTAGAAGTAAGTATGGGAACATGGCTTGGCCACTGTAATCAAAGATGAGCTTAGTCAGAGATAAGGCTTGAGTGCTTCTGGCCCTGCTTGCTGCAGCAGTCCTGTGGCTCTCTGCCTAGCAGTGTGCTGCCCTGTGTAATCTCCTCTAAGGACCTAATATCTCATTGTGGCGAATGGCTAGTTTTCTCCAAAACATCAAGCCATAGGTATCCATTTTCAGCTGGGAAAACTGCAGTTAGGTCAAATAGTCTTTTGCCTGGCTCTAAGGACGTAGCAGTCAGAGGCTTTGCTAGTAGAAACCCCAGCCAATTTCCTCCATCCACCCATGCTTCAGTCGGAAGGCAGGCAGCTGTATCCCTCGAAGCTCCTCTCCTGCTCTTGTGGTCCTCTTTATTGGAGGCACGGGAGACCTCAGCACTAAATATCTGCACCATGATCTCCACAGGGCCTTAGTGACAGACTGACCTGACACCACAGTGAAGGCCAAGCCCATTTCATTTTAGCTCGTTGTGAGTTAAGTAGCTGGGTTAAAATGAAATCTAGATCAAACTAGCCAGCTGCAAACAGACATTGAATATCTTCAGAGATTTAGAAGAGTTCAAATGCAATTTCATTTCCCTTTTCCCATTTTGGTTTTTGAGTTTGAGGTTCCAGCTAGGATTAGAAGTGGAAAACCTGAAGGCAACATTTCCAGCACAATAAGAGAAATTAGTTTCAGGCTCTCAAGAGTCCTCCTGTTTGTGCAGTATTTCTACCCCAATGTGCTGACCCAAGAAGACATTCAGATAAACTCAAAGTTTATATGGGAGAAAAAAAAAGCTTATTTACAAAGAACATTAAGCATCCTTAGAGAAAATAGACTGGGGCACCAGTAAGGAGGGGTAGCTTAACCAGAGCCAGTTGCTGTTCCTAATTACTAAGTACAGGCTTGTCTGTGGCTTGCTGCTTAGACACCGAAAGGAGCCAGTCCCTGTCAAAGTGATGGACACTGTTACATTGCCCCTTTTTATCTGGAAGGGTAGAGTCAAGGAGATATTTCAGACCACAGACCCAGGCATTGCACAGATGTGGGTTGTAACATTTCACTGAGAGTGTGCAGGGAGGAGGACAGCTTTCTGGAAGGCAATCAAGTCCAATATAGCAACTGAGAGGCTAAACGTTTGGCCATGTGCTGGGCTTCCAGGAGGTTACCTCAGATCGTCTGGCTCTGAGGTCTCCTACCTTCCTGTGTTCAGCATGGACAGCTTGGCATCCAAATTTGAGCTGTTAACAAGATGAAATCAAATATCTGATACGCATTTGGAAGATTACTATTTACATTTTAATGGATTTTTTTAATTTAAACGGGAAGACTTTTCACGTCCTGGGTAATTTAGAAGATGACGGATTTGGTGAAAAAATGTGGCAGACTCAGAAAGATGTGAGATGTGGTCGGTGCCATGCGTGGCAGAGTCTCTGTGGGGGAGTGTCTGTGTGCACATGCAGGCATGGGATGCTGCGCGGTGACAGCGGGCTGGCCAGCTTTCCACGTGCCCCAGCACTGTGTGTCTCACCCGTACGGAGGAGCGGGCGAGAGGCCAGTCCCCACGGGACGGGATGGGCACAGGTGGTTCCTCGGAGGAGCAAGGAGCCTACGTTGGGAAGCCTAGCAGGGAGCCCTGCTTTTACTTCAGTTGCCATTTCGAGCATTTGGCCTGAAGAGACCAAAAGGGGAGGAAGAATTAGAGCTGTTAACAGCAGTAAAACTCAGCATAACTAACGGATGTACTATCTGGGCAACACCCGTCCATCTGGACTCGCCCTGCCTGCCTGGCATCTTGTCTTTGTGTCCTGTCTCCTGTCTATAATGTCCTCTGTGTGTAGCAACCCTGTGTGTGTTTCTGTGTATTGAGGTCTTTGGGCATTTGTAGGTACCCACACACACAGAAATGCACCACTGAGCCATAGTAGGCTTGGGCTTAGGCCTGGAAATGTGTTAAGCCTCAGTTTATCAGTGCCTGGATGGTCCCATCCGAGCAGGCGCTGGGTACAAATCCCAGGCGCTCAGGCTGGGTCAGGATTTGGACCCTGTGTGCAGGGCTACGAGCCTGGCAGAGGGATTGCTCCGTGGAGGACCCAGCCCTGCAGCAGGACACAGCTCCTTCATTAGACCCCGTGCAGGTGGGATGGGGAATCATCATGTGTCTGGTTTGAGGGAACTTTTCAGGCCTTTCAGGAGGCTGAAAAGTCTGGCAGGAAGGTCCCTCTCAGCCCGCATCTCTGCTGTCAGATATCACCTCAGACCTTTCCAGAAAATTTCTTGTCTACCATCTGATGGCCACTTTCATGGAGCGATAGAGAGAGGGCGACGCCTCACACCCCAGAAGACACTGAGTTTCCCAGTTAACTCTCACATGAGAGAAGAGGGCAGGGGTTGAATACACCGTTGGAATGCGTTTGATGTGGTTTTAAAGGCAGAACTGCACAGCGTACTTCTTCATGTGAAGGTAAAAATTCAAGATAAACAAAAATATTTTCCTGACACAGTCACTACCTCCATCCACTATATCTACTATGTAAATAAGTGTAGTGTAATTTAATAATCCTGCAGCTCCTAACCTTTTAATGAGGTTCTCGGAAGACACAGACTGAAACCAGCCTCCCCAGATTAAAGTTTTTGATTAAACCCACATGGATCAGCTTGATCTCCTCTCTGCTTAGGATATGGGGCCAAATCCAACCCGGCTGTATCTGCTGTGAAGCCAGCAGCCCCTGGCCCGCTGAGCAGAGCACGACGTCAGGTCAAACGCAGGCAGTACCCTGGGCTTCAAAGGCTGCAAGCGGGGTCTGGGTGATGCTGTGTGCCGAAAGCAGTGCAGGCAACACTGGAAAAGCTGGAAATGCCTGACACAGGCTGGGGGAGGCCCTAGCTGGGGAGCAGAGAGTGCCTTTCAGTAGTGTCACCAAGTCACTGGTCCCTGGGAAGACCCCAAAATCTGAGAGCTGAGAAAAGGCAAATGCTTTTTCCCGATTTCCACTCTGTACGAGAGGAACGTGGCCACAGCTGTGTTTCTCTGAGGCATTTTCCAACAGAGCTCAGCATCTGGGCATTGTAGAAGGAAGAGGCCAGTTTTGTTCTGAGACCCAGCAGAGATGCCTTTCAGAGCACTGACTGTACGCCTTTCTCTCTAGGGGTGAGCAATCATGGGCAGCACACAGTGGTATTTAAATTAGTCCGTGCTCTCAATGCCACAACCATCTCTGTATCCAGCAGAAACATTTGAGCTGTAACTAAGATTTTGGGCACTGCATATCTGTGTCTTTAGTATTTCCAACTAGGGAATTATCAAACCATCTTTCTTATTTTTCCAGGCAGCTGCAGGTATAGAGCTACTCTGTGCCAAGCATGCATATAAACCCATTAGGGCTTTCTAATGTTTCATGCAGAGGAGAATAATGGAGGAGCTGTAGCTAGTAATTGTAATGCCAACCTAAATGCTTTTAAGCTAGGAGACAGTGCTTCATTAATTTTTGTGTCAGCAGAATCACAAGCAAAGTTTAAATAATCTTCAGAGAGGTGAGATTCAAGCATTAGCCAACATCTAGAAGTGGGGATGAGAAAGGACTGTGGTTTTCCTTTTGCATATGTTCGATGGTTTCTCCTTTCCCTGCTGCATTTCCACCAATTCAAACCGTCAGCTGCAGCTGAAAGGATAGTTGTCTGTGTTTGATAGAAGTCTGCTAGTTGGCTGATTGGAGTCTCATCCCAGAAACGATTTCCCTGGAGAAAACAGGCACAGGTTGCATTTTGCCTGCTGTAATTAACGATGCATTAGGTCTCCCCTGTTTGCTGTGCCCACATCCCCACAGTCCACTGTTCTCCTCATACAGGTTCTTCTGCAGACCCCTTGTCTCTGGTTGAGCAGGCTGTAGCAGTAGGTGTGTGCAGTGACCACTTATACCCAAACTGGGGAGAATAACGTAGTATATTCTCACTAAGAGGTAAAAATGTGTGTCTGAACTGAAAGGAGGTCAGAGCCACTTGCTGTGCTGTTGGCTGAAGTAAAACTTCTGTTCCTAAAGGGTCCAGGAATGAACAGTGACCCAGCAGAGCTGGGGGCCTTGGAGCTCTGAAACGCAGCCTCCCTCCTGCTCGGAGCGGGTCAGAGCTGCGGTGACGCTGTGTGGCTGATCTCTCACTGCTTTCGCCCTGCTGCAACCCCTCTGCCTTCGGGTTTGTCCTGACCCAACACCAGCATCGCCGAGAGCAGAAGCTGGCCTGTCCTTCCTGCACACCCCTGCTCACTTCTGTTAGCCTCGCATGAGCGGTATCTCCTCTAATGGACATTGCATGGGTTACTGCACTGAGCATGGCAGTGTTGTTGCATGTGTTCCAGCGCGTTGTCAACTTTATCCCAGACTGTCCGTGTATGTGTCCCCCCAGGAGAAGTTTCTTCTTCATCTGTTAGCCTGGCTTCAGGGATGTAGCGCATCCTAAATGAGTAAGGCATTTCCTAGTGCTCCCTCATCCCAGCTCAAGTTAAACCTATCCCAGGTTTTCTGAGCAACCAGTTGGCCAGGCATAGCCAGTGCTGAGTGCTGGCAGAGGGTACAGACACAGACCTCTGTGACACTTTCACGCAATAAAACAGACCCACCCTTATGACTGGGTGGTTCCTCTTTACTATTTGTATACCCAGCCCGTGTAAAGAGAGAGTTGTGTTGCTGACAACAACAGTTTGTTTGTTTTCTGTTCAGCGGCTTTACAGTGGAAGATGTCTTCTTGGGATTATGCTTTAGAATTATATAAATAGTTTATAAAATGTAATAAATACCTGATCTTTTACTGAAAAGTTAATCAGTGGCTGCATTTGTGCAGGTTAGAGAGTAGTTGGAGTCACCTACAGCCTGTTTTCCCTATGTGCTGATAGCCAGTGTATTCACACACTGCCCATCACTGCTAATGTTCTTCTGAGATCCATTAACCTACCGTTAGTCATTAATAAATAGCCTCTCAATATAAAATTTTACTATTTGGGGTATTATCAGACCTCCCAACAAGCTGATTTTTTGCATTCCCAAGAAGACAATTCCAAAAAAAAAAAAAAAAAAAGAAAAAGTATGCCATAATCCTGAATATACATGAAAGCACATTATACAGACTTAAAAAAATATTATACTGCAATGTTTTTATTATTATTTTTTAGACACACCGGACGATTAGCCGAGCTCAGTAGCAAAGACAGCCCTACCAGTCCAAGATGTCTGGTAGGACTAAAGCACATGAAAGCAACAGAAAAATGCATTCAAAAACAATTGTGTTTGCTTTCATCTTGTTTTTCCACACCCATTAGCAGGAAAAATAAGTCCAGGTGACCCCAGTCAGAAGGAAATGTTTTTTCAAATGCCTCCACTCCACTTTTAACTACCAGAAAAAATAGTAGTTGAAAGAGAGCAGCAGATTCAGTTTCCCTTTATCCAATTTATTTTAGAGTTTTGGACTCTAATCTGGCATCAGTCGCACTACCAAAAAAAACCCCCACATTTCAAGAGTCACTCCATCTGAAAGATATTAGCAAGATGAGAGGAGTGGAAAATGTATTTCAGGGGGTCACTGAGTACTTTTGAACCTATTTCCCCTCCTTAATTTTAAGGTGAAGCAACTCCTTTTCCCCAGCTCCTCATGCATTTAAAGCTGAATTTGCTGAAACATTTGCAAAAAAAAACCCCTCTTCATTAAGAACAATCCTGCTCTGACTTAGTATGACCTAACATGTCTCTTCCACTTGCAAAATCTACAGTAATGCTGACTTTGGCCTTAAATACACTCTGAATTTTTACATTTCTTGTGTTTGAAAAGAATTCGACTCCATCTGAGTGCCCACAGCCATCTTGTGGTCACAGTCTAATTTGAGAGAGACACGCGCAGTAAATACAACTCAGTCTCAGGGCAGTGTCCAAACGCTCCTTGGAACAGCCTCGGGAACTTGGTCATGTACAGAAATTTCCCCATTTCAAAGAGAAGAAAGGAGCAGTCGTGACCAGAGGCAGAGATAGAAACTTCACATGGTCATAGCCTGAATGTTTTTTTAGATGCAACCATGCCCTTGTTCTTATATTTCCCAAGGACCTTGTGCTGACAGTCTTTGTCAAGACAAATGCTGAGCACCCCGCTCCATTGCTGTTGATGCTCTCCTGTGCGCTGCTAACCCTCACGCATGTGTCCTTCTTTGCCACAGGCATCGCTATGTTTTCCTTAGACCTTTAAAATCCACCAAAAGCCTTCCCTTGCAGAAGCTGAGCTCAGGTTATGTTCTTCACTAACTTATGTGGGTCATGACTGACATCAGCGGGATTAGGAGATGCATATCAGAGTCCAGACTGATGAGACCTGCCCACGGCCCTTCGTCTAAACTGGAGTTGAATCCTTGCTGGGTTTGAAGCTTTTCTCTTGGCTTTGGGTCTCATTTCCATCCTGCTTCTCACCCTTCCTGGTTTGTGGCAAGGGTCCCATTAAGTGAAAATCTTGTCCTCTAGCCTGAGAGACAGCAGTAAGAAGAGAGAGCACTTGGGAGAAAAACAGACCTAGTTGTCAAAGCTGTGGAGATCCATCCTGCAGGCACAAGAGTTTTGGCTCAGCCTGATAACCCCACTATGGTTCCTGAAGGTGCTAGGTAGAAGCATTTGGCCATTTCATGTGGCTTGCTTGAATCAGTTCTCCCACATGCTGAATCCCCGTGTGTGTAAGACGTGACCCACGGGCCACACTGTGATGGCTGTCAACCATGCAGCAGGGCCTGCGTTCATTGCGTTGCCTTTTTTTTTCTGCAGAAGCCCAACGCAGGCCTTACTACGCTGACTATTCCCCAGCACGGAAGTACATTCACACCCTCTGCACCAGCCACTATCTTGATCTCTTCATCACGTTCATCATTGGGGTCAATGTCATCACTATGTCAATGGAGCACTACAATCAGCCAAAGGTAAGAGCCACCATCAACGTGTTGGCTGTGAAACACAGCAGTGTGGGGTAGCAGAGGACCTGAGGACTGTATCACTGTTCCCTTGGGATACCGTTGACCAGTGAGGTCTGCAGCCAGCCCTGCTTCCCTGCGACCATTCCCTGGTGCTTGAAAGCGTCGGCAGGCTCCAGACTCAGCATTGCAATCCATCTAACTCTAGGCCAGCTCCAGCATTTGGGAGTCACTTGCCCCAGTCAAAAGCTTGATTTTCCTGCTCTTGCATTAAAAAAGCAGAGAATAACGCTAATGGAGAGTGACTAAGACCAGTCCAAATACTTCTTTCCTGATCCTAGTCGTGACTGACCCTCGGACTGCAAAACAGTCCAGAGTTGTAGAATAGCCTATTAACAGATATAAACATGGAGTTAATGCATGCATAGCAACGTTTCTTTTCCTCAATGAATTTAGAATAAACCAACTCTTAAGCACAACCCTTCTTTTCTTCATGTATCATAAAATCCTTCTTTCCCAAGGAAACCTTTGGCATAAATCATATAGTCCATTTGCTGCATAGATTAATCTTCCATCGCTTTATCATTCACAGAGCTCTAGGCTCAGTGTTTACTTTTCTAGTAGTGCATGGTCTGCCAGGTAACCTGCAAATGCCTCCTGGAAGCTAAGCCTGAGGGGCACTGAGCCACCGGGTAACGCACGTGTGTTTTACGCTAGCTGACTGTGTGCTGTTCTGCCCCCATAATTCCTTTGCATAACAGCCTTTGTTTCTCATGTAAATGTTATTTATCCAGATTAGGTCTTATTTATACTTGTTTTATATTCATGTAAAACACAGTGGTGTAAATCTGAGTGCAAACCATCACAAATGATACAAGAATTCGGGCTCAGGCAGTGTGCTTCAGGTGAAATAATAAATTGTCCCACATGCTTTTAAGCTGTTGTTTTATTTTAGGCACTGGAACAAAAATAGAGATAGTAGTGCATTGAGGAATGCCAGCATCTGAAAAACTTTCAGCTCTTATACCCCAAAAAATCAGTGCATGGTCATCCCACATATCTGGGGTCAGCAAAGCACGGTCATCGCACAAATGTGATGAGGAGAGCTTTCCCGTGGCCTGAGGCTTCCCCTGTCAATGAAGCAGACATTGCTTTGCAGGCTTCTCTATTGCATTTTATTTCCAGTTGCATCTGCTTTGATGTTCATTGTTGTCATTTTCTTACTGTAAAACACCTATACTACATTTAACTAAATTCCCCTTCCCTCCCTCCTCTCCCCAAATCCCCACCCAACCAAAGAGCTGTTACACTCTGCAACTATCTATTTTAAGGTCCCAGCAAGATTCTTTTGCTATTGTTGGTTTACAGTTCCAATGAAATAAACACTCATCATCCTAAAGTATAAACACTGCGGGTTCCTAACTTCCGAGAGCAACTCTATAGAGAGCGTGAACATTGCACCAAATATGGACATACTTTGCCCAGCTCTAGAGATGTAACATTTTTCAAAAAGGCAAGATTTAATTCATCTCCAACATTATTTATTTTTCTGAGTGTTTTAAGCAAAGCCATTTTCCTAAGGATTGCCATGCTGAAATAAAGAAACGATCCATCAAGTCTTTTATTCTACCCAAGACTAGGCAGTTCAGAGGAAGTAAACTTCATTAGATGGGGAAGGGGTAAAATTTTCTCTCTGACCCAGACTGAACAATTTGTGCACTGAAGTTGGAGGATTGATAGCTCTTCACATTTTTAGCACAACTAGTATTAGTGCTTATGAGGGGGTTTTTGTATCAGTTTCTACTCTTTTATTTGAGTTTTGCTGTGTGCTTCAGTGCAGTTTTGTAACTAACTGAGCTCTGCAAGCTATTATGACTTTACTTCTTACATCTCTCTGCCTGTGCCACCCTTGTGCCTGCCAGTTCCTCTGCAGGGGCTCTAGGAAAGGATAGCTTGGGCTGGTCTAACCGGTGTCTCTCTTTTCAGTCCCTGGATGAAGCCCTGAAGTACTGCAACTATGTGTTCACCATAGTTTTTGTGTTCGAGGCAGTTCTGAAGTTGGTGGCATTTGGTTTTCGAAGGTTCTTTAAGGACAGGTGAGGGTATTTTAAACTCCTGTGCATTTGGGGTAGAGCTGTATTGACCCAGTTTCAAAGACAGATGCTGGGTAAATGTAGCATTACTATGATTGTACTACATGCTGTGTGCAAGGAAAAGCAAAGGGCTGTCTCTCCATGGGTGCAAACTTTATAGTGTAGGAAGTAAAAATTTTAAGAACTGCCGGTGCTGCTTTGCAGAAGGAATTCAGGAAATCTTACAAAATTCTACATATGTTCTTTCCCTCAGTATCTGCCTCTCCACTAGGTCTGACCAGCTTAGCTTAGAGGTCAGAAACAACCTGTTGGCATCAATCCAGTCCTCAAAAGAGTAGTTTTGGCAACCTAAGGTCACAGAGCTCCTCAGAACAAATCTCCTTTGCAGTCCAAACCAGTCCTTTGGTAGACTGCTGGCTTTGTAAAGCCATTGGCAAAGGCAGAGGTAGTTGTGTTCAGCCCCACTGCCTTCAGATCCCAGCTGCAGAGACCTACGGATCTTATTCTGCCTCACATTTAGCCAGAAGCAAATGTGCGTGAAAGCACATTGTGGTCTGGCGACTTGCTGGGGAGCAGAGTAAGACTGGACACCTCTCCACACAATCAGCTTGTTTGCTTCATTTATCTTGACTGAGTGGTTGGAAGCTGCTATAAGCAATATTACTTGGGAGGGAAATTGCGTAGGAAAGACACTCAGTTTGTTCATTTCTTACTGTCTTTCCAGTGCTGGTGTGGAAGGGCCTCTGCAAGTGTTAGGGTAGAAATCAATGAAGGCACTCAAGGGGAGTAATTCAAGAGACAGGTGACATAACATGGGAGCAGCTGTATTGCATCACATCAAAGGTCCCTCTAGCCTAGTGTCTTGTCACTGAGAGTGGCTCCAAGTGGATAGCAGGGGGGAGATAGGGAGCGGGAAGTAAGCAGGGACACTTCCCAGTCACAGCCTACAGCAGCTTGTGGCTCAGAGGCTGTCTGTGCCAGCTGCAGTGAGTTGATTTTGTACCACGTAGATCATGAGCCCAGATATGAGGCATTTGGGATTTGCTTTTGCTTCTTATTAACAGATAATTCTCTACTCCTGGGTGTCTGTCCATGTATGATTTTGATTTTTTTGTCCTTCCTCTCTTTGTCTGTTAGGTGGAATCAGCTGGATTTGGCCATAGTTCTCTTATCAATTGTGGGAATCACACTGGAGGAAATTGAGATGAATGCTGCACTGCCCATCAATCCCACAATAATACGCATCATGCGGGTGCTGAGAATAGCAAGAGGTACGGCCTGCTCCGTAGGTCTCCAGACACATCAGGAAATGGTTTGGCCATTTGTTCTTCTAGTCCTGCTGTTTCAGTTTGACTTGAGAACAGTTAGGTGACGAGGCTGCAAAATGTCAACTCAGAGACAAGCTAGGTGGGGTTTCATGGGTGTTTCCAGTGGCATCTTAGAGTAGTCTCTAATCAGAGACCATTAGAGTGGTCTCTAATACAAACCTGGGATCACAGACCTTTTATACTGTTACCAGACAACAGCAGGAAGTGGTGGAGAAGGGAGGATCGAGCCTGAGATGATGCTCTTCACTGACTAAGTGTCTTCCCATCACTCTTCCATTTTCCTGCTAGGGCACGCTGGAGTTCTGGCTTTTGATCTGTTTTACTGATGTCCTTAACATTAATTGGTGTGGGAAGTAGTCAGGATGTTCAGATGTTCTGTGAGCCCTGCCAGGATACAGTGAACTTGCCATCTGTATGAATAGATGCAAGAGAGATGTAAACCCTCCCTACAAGATCTGAAGCTAGATTTCCTTTATGGATTTTGCTTGAATGAAATATTTCCCAGCCCTGCTGACCAGGAGTTGATTCTCATTGTAGTGCTGAAACTGCTTAAAATGGCTACCGGGATGCGAGCTCTCCTGGACACCGTGGTACAAGCACTTCCCCAGGTAAGCCCCCAGACTTCATCCATGCCCAGTTCGTTCCTCTCAGTGGACTATGCTTTTCGGGCCTGGGGACAGCTCTGTGCCACCACGTTTGGTGGGCACTAGAAGCCACCTGGGGAGGATATCAGCTTTCTCTGCTGCCACCAGTGCCTTGGTAGCAGAGTTTCGTATGGCACATCCTACTCACATATTGTGTGTTAGATGGGAGAACCAGAACGATGAAAGAAGAGTTAACAGAGAGCCAATTGCTGTAGGCAGAGCTCTTATAAAACACAGATTTCACTGGCAAGTTGAGGAAACACAAGGATAGACAGAGAAAGCTGTTGGTGAAAGCATTGGAAGTAGACAGCTTCCAGCTCAGCCGTTTTCTTTCTGAGACAGGAGCAACCATGTTTATTGACACCTATTGACAGAGGAGCTGCAGACTTTAAAAGGGGAATAGGGGAGACATTTCTGAGTGTTAAAAGCTTGAAGTGAGGTCTCAAATCACCATATTCTCATGAGCTGCAAGAGGAACAATGATGCTGCCAGTCTTAATGATATTTGATGGGATCCTTCAAGTGTTCAGTTCCTGGGACCACTTTTTTATGGATGCATTTATTTGAAAAAAGAAGGAAAGAAATGTTTTGCTGACTTGCACTTCTCCCTCAAAAAGATCTAAAGCACATCAGAAGAATTCCAAGAAGTTAAGGGTTCCTTTGTTTTTAAAATCTTATGCTATTTAAGCTGTGTTCTGCTAGTTTGTGTGTTTGATGGTCTGAGTCGTAGTTGTTCAGTCTTTAGAGTCAGCTCAGCTGCCTACACATCCAATTTCATATATCACCAGGATCCTGTATCCCACCAGACAGTACTAGAAGCGTTTACTGACACGTTTTATGCAGAAGTGAGTATCAATACGAGGTGCCAGGCCATCAAGGATGAGGCAGAGGAACTCTGCAGCCTTCTTCTCTGAGCTGGCAATTCAGAAGCAGCACTTTTAGGATGCACAGGCATGGTCAGACAAGTCCTTAGTTTTCAACCCCTCCAAAACATCCCACAGCTGAGTCATTGGAAGGATCTTTATGAGTGGCCCCACTCCATTCTGTGTGGAAGGGCGCAGTGTGCCCTGGGATGGGCTGGGAGTCAGGCCTCCCCTCTCCCAGCCCCAGCCCCATAGGCACAGGGAGATGGCAGCACACCATGGTGGGCAGTCACATCTTGATCGGCTTCAGCTGTCTGCAGAGGGATCATATCTCAAAGGCAGGATGGTAGCACTGTGGCTTGGCCAAAAGCAGACACCATGTAGACATCTCTTCCAGAATGAGTGGCCATATGAGAATCAGTAGAACTAGTACATGTAATTACCCAAATGTACCCCTGTGAGTTAGTTGCTAAGTACAAAGAAAACCCATGAGCTATTCAAAATGAACTGGGAAACAAGGGGAATTTCTTTTTCTTGGAAAGACCCATTTACTTTTCATCACTGCCATAAAGATGTTTCTAATCTGAGACATTTGCCCTTTGGTATTCAGATTTCCTTTTCAGTGAAGGATTTTGGCTGAGCCTAAAGCATGGAATTTACCAGCCTGACCCCTGTTTTGGCATTTCAAGAAAGCATTTGATTTGTGTCTATTCTTTTTCTTTTGAAAGCATTGTGATTACAGAGCATATTTTCTCCCTCTCCTTGTTTTCTCTCCCCCCCAAACAATAGGGTGGCTGCAGGCCAGGCTTTTTGTTTCCTTGGGGTGTTTTTGCAGTTTACACTCAAACCAAAGTCTCTTTTAAAGGGAAATCCCCAGGGATATTCCAAGCAGATCTTGTGCAGATAAAAATGCCACTTTGTCCTCCAGTGAAATTCAGAAAATCAGAAGGGAAGTTTGTGAAGACCTCTCCAACAACAATCACTCTTTATAAAGCTACAGCTTTCATTTCAAAGACAGTGGAAGAGCTCCTACCCCAATTAAGTTAGCAGCCTAAAACCACAGCTGGAAAATCCTCATCGAATATGTCTTCAAAGTGACAAGAAAAATGAATTTGATGTTTATTCATTAAGGTTTTTGGGGAAATTCTTTGCCTGATGTATGTAGAATGTCCATTTATGGGCTTACCATGACAAGGTATTGTCATTGCAGTACACTTTTTTTTTCCTTCTCTTTGGGATGATTTTCATCAGCCTCCTATTTGCTTTTATTCAGCAGCAGATATAGCTTGACTAACACTTAGAGAACCAGCTATCCCCAGACTTGGGGGGATGTTAGCATTTTGATCCAAGGTTGAAGCTGTCACGGTAGAGGCTTAGTCTCCTCTTCTGGAACTCCAGACTGACCTTGAGCTATTGTTTTCAATGCAGGAAGACTTCCAACCCTACTACATCCTCCTTGTCTGGTAACCTTGTGCCTACCAGTTCAGAGATGATCTCCTCCACCATGTCTCTGAAAAAAATGAGATGGAGTAGAGGAGAACAAATGAGGAGAGGCAAGAGAGACAGAAAGAGTGGTCAGGGAAAGATCTCAAAATGTCACCTTCTTTGCCCACCAGCTCCATGCCCTCTTAGTCCCAGCAAACATTTAGGATGGTGTGAATTGATCATCACGTTCCTGCCATAGGCCATCTATGCTTGTGCAGCACTGGCTCTTTTACCCACTACTGTGCAGTCTTGAGGCAGTATTTCCTTTTCAAATAGGAATCCAAGTTTTCCAATTTCACAGAGGTTGAACTAGTAGTGGGGCCATGGTCACCTGGAAAGGCACCGCCAGCCTCAGCTCCGAAGGTGTACCCTCATGGCATACCCTTTGGAGAACGAACAAAATCTGTTATGGACTTTAAAGTATGAAGTGCTAAAATCAGCTACGCTGGTGTAAACTTGAAATGGATCCACTGCTTTAAACTGAGCTGCTAAAAAGAGCTGGGCTAGCGTGACCAGCACTGACTTCATCACTTAGACATTGCCAGTCCTAATTAAGCCAGTTCAGTGTTGCTGTTCGCAGACCGAAAACTCCCCTGTGATCGCAGATGTCTGCCCCCAGCATAACACAAGCCACACAGCTCTGCACTGAACTTCAGCATGTCTTTTAAAAGCCACCTGGTCTTGTTTTAAGGATGCAAAGTGTTAGGGAACTGGCCATACCCTGTTGATTAAATCCATTCTTCCAGTAGATGTTTACTCTTTCTGCTAAAAAAGATCTGGTGTTTTTAGTCTGAATTAACCAAGTTTGTTTTTTCACTGGATGTAATTTTGCTTTTTTTCTTCCAGAACTTCTTCTTTTTGGAGCAGTAAGAGATAAAATAATCTCTTGCAGTCTGGCAAACAGAACATTGAACTCCTTTAATCTCTCAGTATGAAGCAGGTTTTCAAGACCCGTTTCAAGCGTTTTCCTCTTCTTTATGAGTTCTGGACCCATTAAGGCTATATAATGAGTTATACCACTCTTATGCTTCAGCTGAATATCCCCTTGCTTATACATCTGGTGGCTGCATCGGTTTTGTAAGCAATGTCTGCTCTGTAAGACTCCTATTTGGTGGTAATCCTTTAGTCCTTTTCTCATGCCCTGCTTTCCAAAGGACAATTTGCCTTTTCTGTAGCGTGGCCTGCACTTCGCTCTCAGATTTGTAACTTTGCATTTGGCTGGGTTAAAATGCTCGTTGTGTAAGTGAATCCACCTCACCGAGCAGCCCAGCTCAGTCTGTACAGCACTTCTAGTATCGATTGCCCATAGGAGAACCCGCGGTCAATGCTAAGGTGCCAGTGCTCTTCCTGATGGAGAGAACAAAGTGGAATCCAATCCAAATGCCATCCTGGCTCTGCAGGGCCAACAATAGTAAAATGTGAAATTTTCATATCAAAAGATCTCGGTTCTTTTTCCTTCTTTTTTCTCATTTGGTCTGTGGACGACACATTAATTAAATGCAGGACTGTACAGTATACCTCCTCTTTGTCTTCAAAGCTTGGAACTGCCCCCAGATGGACGCTATGCCAAGAAAAAAGTTAAAAACTCCTTGTTTTATCAGTGCCCTGAAGGACAGAGTCTGTAGTTTGTTCCTGTCCAGGAGTTTAACTCTTCACGGTGCTGTAAATCCTGTGCTTATCTCAACTTCAGCTCTTGAGGAGGTTTTCTGGCATTGTCTAACAGCAGTTGTGGGACAGAAACAATAGCCTGCTTTTGCCAGACACGAAAACCCACAGTGACTGTGGAGCTCAGAGAGCAAGAATAGAAATGTCTTACTAGCAAGTGTTGTAGATGAGACAGATTCTGGAAGACAGGTATGTGTGTACTGTGATGCACACTGCAAAGAAGTGCAGAGATGCCTGAGAGATTTAGGTAGCAAAGCAGAAATCATTAGGTAAAGAAACCACCTTTCTGCTTGCTGCTAGCGTTGTTCTCCATGGGGCTGAGTGGATGCACAGAAAGGGGAGCTCATTCAGTTCAGCCAGTGGCCTTATGGTTGCACCAAGGAGATGACTTTTGCCTCCAAGGTGGTCTGTTTGGCCCTTTCCACTAATCCTGGAATTCACACAGATGGCCTCTGTTTTCCAAGCAGACAAATGTGTTCATTTTCTCTTGGGTCTAGCACATAAATTAGCCTGTGTTTTCCTGCTGCCAGGATTATTGCTTTGGCGGGAGAGTGCTGGAAGGAAGATGAGGAGGACTCATGTCCTTGTAAAGGATTGGCAGAGGCTTAGTTTTATGAGAAATTGCTCTTGACAGGCATCCCAGGGAGCTGTGTGCATTGCCTGCATGGACAACTGAAATGCCAAGGTGTGGGCCAGTGATGCAGAAATAGTTGATGTCAGAGCAGAGAGAGACACAAGAGGAGCTGTAGCGTGCTTCAGCCAGCCATTGCAGGAATAGAGCAGCAGAAGATGTGTTTCATCAATGCCTCTCCCAGAGCAGGGAGCGTAGAGGCCAGCAGGATCTAGGGGGACTTGGATAGGATCACACAGCTGACAGCACAGTGATAGTGCCCAGGTGACCATGTCCTGTTGTACATGACCAGTACAACACACTTGCATATCAGGCTAACACAACCTGGCATAGTTGCTCTATCTGCCTGCAGCTTTTTGCTTAGTGGTATAGGTCAGAGGTTGAACTCAGATGGGACACGCAGTGGTGCTTAGCTACTGCAGTGTCACTTAGGGGGAGGCAAAAAACTAATAGCAATGATGTCCACAAGAGCTAAAGCAGAGACAGCCTCCCCAGCCCGTGCAGGGCAGTGGGAGAAGGGTTTGGCTGGGTGTGTGGAGAGTTTCTTTCCTTGCTGCTGAGCAGGGTTATTCCAGGGCTTTCACAATGGTAGATCACAGAACCATCTGGAATGCAGCATGGTGAAGGGTGCTAGGTCCTGCTCCTCTGGGTGAGATGGAGGACTCAAGTCTCTCTCCCCACAGTATCCCTTTGTCACAGGCACACAGACGCTTTTGCCAGCAGTATATGACAGCCACGATGCCAGAAAGTGAAGGTCCAGGAGGAATCACAGATATTCACCAGTGTCTTCATCTTCTCTTGTGGCTTCTCTGGGGTACTTGAGGGCACCAAAAACATCTCCAAGACATTCTTCATCTCTGCTTCACTCCCTACAGGCCACAGCCTCCCCTCAACATTGGAGCCACAGCAAATGATGGATAGCCCCTGGCTGCCAGAGGGACGGGTTATCTGTAGATTTCTCTGCCCAGCCAAAGGCACCAGCCCAAGTCAGGGGGAGTCTGATGGATAAACAGAGCATGGGCTGACCTGTTCAGTGCTGCTAGAGCAGAACCACTTCTCAGAGCCTGCTTGGGTGACCAGTTGCCAAAGTTGAGGTTGCTGACCAGAGCTGGATCTCTGTCCCTGATGGAGAGTCCAGCACTGGCATCCTAGCCTTTGGCTGCTGGAGAAAAGTGCCTGGATGTGCTCCTGCTCCCTCCCGTTCCTTCCATCAACATGATTCATGCACAATCTTTTCCTTGCCTGGTCTCAGTAGATCTCAAGTGCTTTAGAGACATTAATTACCTATCCACAAGGGTATTACAAATGGGTATTTTGAGTTACAGGAGAGGAATGACTCACTCAAGGTCACAGGCACACATACAGTCTGCCTTCTCTGCTCCTCAGCAGCCGCTGGCTGACCTCACTGCCTCTGCCTCAGCCCATCTCTGAGAACATGCCTTGGGTCCTTCTCTGTACTCAGGCCTTGGTGAAAGCCATGGGCTGAAGAGGACCTTCCTTTACTTTCCTGAGGGACATGTACCAGAGCGCCATGGACTAACAGGGACAAAATATTAAATCTGGCACTGACTTCTACTGATTCAGTACAGCCAGAAGCTACACAAATAGACCAAGCAGTTTTGCTGAAGCACCTAAGCAAGAGGTGAGACATTTTGCTTAGCCACATACTCTTGAGCACCAGGTGTTTGTGGGCTGCCCTCTCCAACATCAGGAGCCACCAACTGCCTGCACATATCCATGTGAATGCTACGTCTTTGGGGGGGTGGTCAGGGCAGCAGCTGCACATGGGGAGCAGCTCTGGATGTCTAGATACGGGGTGGGATGGAGTTTAAGAGTGAAGGTGGTCCTATCGTCTATCCCAGGGTCTTTCACTTGCTGCTGTCTCCCACATCTCTCTTTCACGTATCCAAGTTTCCAAATCAGAGTCAGACGTTCAGTCACTTCCCAAGAGATCCTGTGCATCAGCTGAATTTTGGAACTGCCCATGTGTCTGCTCTCAGCCAAAGCCAGATGCAACCTTAGACACCAGCAAACACCACTTTAGCAAACATGCTTCCCTTAGCATTTTTAGAGTATGCTTATGGCTGTGGTGCCTTGAGCCAAAAGCATCAAACACAGCAAACCCATGAGTGTAAACTGGTCTTTGAAGGACTAGTTATGAGACACATTGGTTCAGTAATGTCATTAGTCACGATCTTAAATACAGAATCTTTTACAAATGCACACTAGATAGTAGGCAAATTGTTTATGAGCAAATGCCAACTCATAACATGCTTGACATGTTGAGAAATAGATAATAGTTTTGACTGATAACCTGGTAATGAATAATTTTGATGTTAGTCTAAATTCTTTGGAATTTCATCAATGCCAAAAGTTTGCAGGCTGATTTATTAGGCATTAATATAGCAGTAAAATATTCAGCTTATAGGCTTCTTTGAAAAAAATCCAAGACCCTATTCTGCAGTGCTACATCAGGTTTTAATATACACTCAAAGTAGAAAACTTGTTTATCACTTTTATTTTCCTTCCCTTTAATTATTTGCTCATTTGCCTCCCCATCTGTGTGTGTGTGCATTTGCGCGTGTGCCTGTTTTCTTGTGTTTTCTAATTCGCAGTCATTTTGCAGACTGCCTTCTAATGTCTTACAAACCACCAGTAGTCCAGCAGACATGAGTTAGGAAACACTATTCCGGAAGACGGTACATAGAGATGAAATAATCTAGACCAGCCATCCATGTCACTGTATTATCTCTATTATCCCCTGGAGTATGATAATAATGTTAGTGGAATTGCAAAGCTCCATGTTTAGCCAGTTTAGGCTTTATAGCAATTACAGTCTCCACTGGGTGATTTGACTATTCCCATTTCTTTAATACCAAAAAAAACCCCTACTTCATAAGTGATAGCTGTGTTAATTTTATGATAACAGGTATCATACTGATAACCTTTCTAATGAAATTAAGCAGCATGGTCAAAATACCCAGCAACACTGCGGCTGTGCTGCCTCAGAGAAGAAAGCGCGCTCAAGCTGTAGAGTTCACTAGAAGATACCTTGGAGATCATCAACCTCTCAGCCTGACTACCTGAATCACCACCTAGTTCATTTTTACTTAGAGATAAAATGATGCTTTTGACACCGTGTCTAACTGGAGAACTCGATCGCGCTATGATACCATTACAAGCTGATACACATGAGGCATTTAAAAGTGGCAGGGAAGGTAAACATGGCCAGTCGCAGGTAAAACACAGGTGGTTAGCTGGGCAGGTTACTCTGCCCTTTACGTTCTCTGCCGGAATGACAAAAAATCTGCTCTTTGAAATGTTTTAAAGGTTTCAACTCCATGTAATGATTGACTCCAGTGTGGATAACTGTAATGCCATTGTTATTAAGAACCTTTGTGTTCCGTTCAGCATCACTGCACTTCTATTACCATCCCCTTCAGCCACCGTGCCAGGCATGTTAATACCTAGTAGTAGCACACCACACAGTGTTTGCACCGCGCGAGGTGCCCGCATTTAAGTGATGGTATCTGGAATAAGGCTTTTCTTTTGAGACACTGAAAGCTAAAATTCGGGTAATTGTTGTTGAGAAGTATCTGTAAAGTGGCAAGGCTAGGAGAGCTTTACATCTTACTGGAGCATATGTTCCTTTTCTGAAAGCCTTCCAGGCCAGCGAAACCTTTGAAAACCAGGCAGTTCCTCTTGTGGCTTGTGACATGTTTTGTTAATGTCACTGTCTTGAAACCCTCAGCCTTTGTGCTCAGAGTCTCAAACCTGGCAAACAGAAAGGAAAGACCCTTAAAACTCAAACCAGAGCACCAGGTCACTTAAACTACCACTGCACTGAAGTTAAGTGCTGCTGAGGCTATGGCTACGGCTACGGGTTGGCCAAATTACGGATGAAGGCAGCATTCCCGATAAGCGGAAGGGCGATGGAGAGGCACCAGCCACAGAGGCTGCTTTGCACGTGGGAGCATCTGCTCCTTCCCCAACACAGGAGACTTCTCTGGGTCTGTTAAAGCAGAACCATGAAAGGGGACCAGAGTGTTGGAAGCCAGAGGAGATGATGATTAGCCTCTGGACACCAGTCCCTCTTTTGCTTGTGTTGAAAATGTGATGGAGTAATTTAATTCGTGACCTCAACTTGCCTGACCCTTGTTCTGCTTTCTCCTTGTGTAGGTAGGGAACCTTGGCCTACTTTTTATGCTCCTGTTTTTTATCTATGCTGCACTGGGAGTGGAATTGTTTGGCAAGCTAGGTGAGTAATGTGCCTGACAGAACTTATTTCATCCGGTTGATGTTTATTTGGTATCTAGCTGTTTCCTTTCTTCTCTCTCTCATCCTTGGGCCTTCCTTAGCTTCACGGTCTGAAGATTAAAGTTTTCTCTTGATCTCAGGGTCACAGATGACACATGAGGATGTAATACAGAACCTGTCTAACATACGCACACACACCCATTTAGAGATTTATCCAACACCAGCCTTGGCTGTAGAGGAACTATTTACTCTTTAAATATAATTGTCCAGCACGGATATGTTCACAAAGATGGAAGTTTGCTACTTAAGACAGAACATGATTCTGTAAAGCTGGATGGTAGTCAGATTCATGCTGGCGAGATGCCACCGTAAATATGTCCCTCCTCAGAGCTTCCACCACACTCTATTAGTTTTCTGCACTTGGCTGACATTGCTCTTCCAGCTGCTCAAGTCTTGTCTGTCCATTGTTCTTCTCAGCATCACCTTCCCCTTTCCACGTAAAATGAGGAAACACCCACTGGTTCCTGATTGTCCAGCATCATTTATTCCTCTGGCTTGAGGATACTGCAGAGCTGATCATGAATGTGTCCACCACCACCAAGAATATCAGGTGGAGTCAGAGAGAAAACACTGCAGCCCTTCCTTGCCCAGCTTAGCTAGGCCAAAGTAGTCACTGCCTTTAAACATGCTGTTGGAAGGAGATGTGTCTGCCTTCTCAATGTTTGCATCCCAGTTAGGGCTTCAAGAGCATCAGAAGGGCCCTTCCTCCTCGGTGATTTTATGGCTGTCATTAATCCCCTTTATGAGTCCAGCCCTCTGCTTGCATTACAAATGCCTGAAAGCAGAATATTTATTTCAACCAGAGACAAATTATTTTTCCGTCTCAAACAAATTCTGGAAAGAAATTAGTTCTGCAACCACCCCAAATGAAATACTGTGGGTTTTTTATTACATATCTAGATATATAGGTATGTATTTGTTCAGCCACAAAGGTGAAAAATGTCCAGAGGCACCTTCTGCTGCTCTGAATACTTTTTGTGTTTCCACGCACACGCTTTGCCAACGCCAGCCACCAGGTAACTACAGCAAGTGGTCAGAGACATGGAAAGCCCTGATCTTGCCTGGGGCAAACTGCAGGCAGTCAGCACACTGCTTCCCATCCTGATTTAATTGGGAAATACTTTCACTTCTTATTCCTGGTCACTGCTGGTCCATGTCAGCCACAAGAACCAGCAGTGCTCACTCCTCCAAGACTGGTCATTTGTGGGATTTTTTTCTATTTGTTTTTCTGGTTTTCCTTCCTATTTGCCTCTGAAATAAAAACCTAGGAGTGAAATGCTGTTGCAAGAGGCATTGCTGCCTGTCTGTTCTAATGAATATTTAATAAGCCTGTGTTTTATGGAAAGAGGGACAATTCATATGTTCAATTTACATTCATTAGTATATTAATTCTCAGGGGAAAACATGTCAAATTGTTCCATTTTATCTCAGTGAAATATCCCTCATGGTTGATGTGCTCTGTGAAAAATAATCAAGACAAAGATGCAATCAAGAGGATAACAGACAAAGGGCACTAGAGAGCAGTATTTGTTGAGACACCCTAGCAAATCTGCTTATTTCCACCTCCTTTTAGATCTCTTTGTGTTGGCTCTGCCTGTTGGGGTAAAGTCAAGAGAATCACAGAAATGTTGGTGGAGGAGGTCCTGGAGGCCTCCACCCAGTCTCCCATTTGAAGCCCCATTACTAGCTCAGAGTAGGTGTGGCTTTGTCTAGCCAAATCTTGAAAACTTCCAACGACAGAGATTCCACACCTCTCTGGTGACCTGTCCCAGGGCTGTTGGGCCCTGCAGATGACAAGACCTTTCCTAATGTCCAACCTGGACCTCCTAAGCCACAGTGTGTTGCTGTCCATTATATCATCTGTCTCCACTGAGAAGAGTTTGACTGCATGATCTCTGCAGCTGCCCTTCAGTAGTTGCAGGCCACCACGAGATCACCACTTAGCAGCCCTCCCTGATGCCAGGTATCAGTGTGACAAATCTCAGGGCTTCACTGTCAGGCTTGGGGGGCTGCTCTGAATAACCACTGGCAAACTTCACTTCACTGACGTGCTTCTGCTTCTCTCTCCTGCAGACTGCAGTGAAGAAAATCCTTGTGAAGGTCTGAGCCGGCACGCAACTTTCACCAACTTCGGCATGGCCTTTCTCACCCTCTTCAGGGTGTCAACAGGGGACAACTGGAATGGTATCATGAAGGTACGTGCAATCTCTGTTTAGGTACTTTCTTCTCTCTATATATATAGATATAGAGTAGTAGATATACAGATACAGATTTCAAACAAATTCAGACACCTCTTGTGTGAAAACAAAAAAGGTTACCTTTTAAAACATCAAAATTAACATTAATATGTTAAAAAGAGTGAAGTTTCAGGTTGGGCGAGACTTAGGACAAATTATCGCTTGAGTCTCGCCCAACCTGAAACTTCATTCTTTTTAACATATATATAATACTTCAGGAAAATTATGCCGGTCCTTGTGGCTGAGAGAAGTAACCATGCACTCTGTGCCCTGTGCCTGTGGGATGTAACACAATCATCCTCTTTGCAGGTGATGTAATTCATGGTGTCCATATTTTCTTCTGGCCATTTTAGTTGTACCTACAAGCTACTGTGTCTGGGATATGTAATTATATGCTTTGCAGTCCTCAGTGGGTTATCTTTGATGTTTCTGTATTTGGAGCCCAAGCAGAGCCTGAGCCCTTATTAATCCCTCACCTCTCCCTCTCTGTTGCAGGACACTCTCCGGGAATGCACTCGGGAAGACAAGCACTGCCTCAGTTACCTGCCTGTTATCTCTCCCGTCTACTTCGTCACCTTTGTCCTCATCGCACAGTTCGTCCTAGTCAACGTGGTGGTGGCAGTGCTGATGAAGCACTTGGAGGAGAGCAACAAGGAGGCCAAGGAGGATGCTGAGATGGATGCTGAGATTGAGTTGGAGATGTCCAGAGGAGCAACTACCTCGGCCACCAGTGGAGGCAGGGGAGGTGCAGTGGCCCCGGAGAACAGGGCACCCTACAGAAGTCAGGAGACCATGAAGTCAGAGCCAGCAGTGCAGGTGAAGCACCAAGCCCTGGTAATAGTTCACACAAAGCATCTGCTCTTCTTGTGCTCAGGGTAGGAAGGGGACGGTTCTCACCAGTCACTGCTGTCTGATCATCAGGCAGGCAGATCCCGAGTGACACAGAGCAAATGAGGCAGGAGAAAAGGCAGCGTGGGAGGAAGGCAGCTTTCCCGGGTCCCCCTACGGCAGAGATGTCACCACCACCTCCACATCTTGAGTCATCCCGGGTGGGCTCCCTGAGGTGGAAGGCTACTTGAAACGTGTTCTCCAGAGCTAACGCTGTCCTGATCATTGTTCTGAGGGAGAGCTGACTTGCCATTTCCAGTTCATTCAAAGGTTGTGAAGCATAATAGCCACAGGTCTCTGTCCTGCTCTCCCAGCCAACACATCGGTCCTTGTCGTTTTAGCATGGGCGGCAGCACCAGGGAGCAATCTCATAAAGTCCTGGGAATGCTGGCACCGTCAACCCTGACACATACAGCAAAGGATGGCATAAATTCCCTTTACACAGACACAGAAGTCCTGCTCAGGTTCTTTTTAATCCCACGTTGGGATTTCCAGAGGACCCTCAAGCAAATCATAGTGCACAGCTCAGGAGAGCACGTCTGGTACTGATGTAAGATGCAGCTTCCCACTGGCTCATGCCCTGCTTAGGGCATGGCTGACTCGGACCCTGGGAATTGTCAGAGCCCCTCAGCAAGAGGCTGGAGGTTCCTGGAGTGATTTTCCAGACACTTCTTGCTCTCTGATTTCTATTAGTCCTCTAGAACAATAGGGTGATCAGAAGAGAAGGGGAGAAGGAGGGGCATGAGATAATTGTCTCATCCCGTGTCAGCAGCATATGATTAAGAGTGAATACGAAATTGCTTTGTCACTGTGATTGCAAGTAAATCTACTGCAAAATCAATGGGGGATTTGAGATTAAATTGCATTAGATTAGATTTTTGTAAAATCTATCAGACTTTATTAAGTCAAGTAAAAAGAAATTTAGTTACAGAGCAATAGGGAATTCACTATTTGAATGTAGTTTCTAATAGATATTTCTGCAGGAAAATGCACCATGAACACCCAGGTTGCTTTTCTCACTGGAGGAAGAGAGGGCACATCCTTTCACAGAGGCTGTGATTGCAAATTGAGTTCATTCTCCTTGGGTTTTCCTCATCTTCCCATACCTCCCAAGCACATCAGGAGCCATGCAGAGCCTCCTCTTAGCCCTAGAAAACCCATAGTGAGAAAACCCATCCTTGGTGACCTCCAAACTATGCATGATCTCCAGGGGGAGAACAGCGTGAGCAGGGACCTGGCTACAGATTTCCGCCTGCGGATGAGATTGCTCAGATGCAGGTGAGGATTCGCAAGCGAGGGCTCCCTCTCCCCTGTGCAGCAGTGAGGCAGAGGCACCGCGGCAGGGCTGGGTCGTGGCGATGCCCTCACCCATCTTGGACACCCAGGCTGTTCTGGGCAGGCGTGGATGGCTGGCAGCTCGGCGCTGAGCTTGCTGCTCGCTGCACTGAGATTTAATTTCACTAGCTGAGATTAAATACGTAGAGCTCTGTATAAGTAATCCCGCCATTGATGGTGGCATGGGCACCCTGGGAGGTGTTGCAAGATGCTCTGTGTTTTCTTGCTATTTCTGACAGTTTTTGCAGCCCACATTTTCTTTTCTTTTCCTTTCCTTCCTGCTCTGGATGAATGGGGCAACTAGGAAATGCCACGGGGCAAACATGTTCAAGCGTTAAGACTCAGCCTTGCTCTGCTACTGATGCCTTTTATCTCCCCAATTTGAAGGAGAAGCTGAGCTGTGAGAATGTGTCTTTAGCCATCCCAGACTCAGACACGCTGGAGGGGGCAGACGCTCCCGTGATGGAAATCCCGTCCTTCTGCTCTGTTCCCCACCATGTCCTGACACCTTCCCACAAAACCCCAGGCCACGAGGCGGAGGTGAATGACGTCGCGTCGTTGCTTCTGCGTTGTGCTTTGGTGCTGTGCAGCTAGCAGTGGTGTCTGAATTGTCCTAAACCTGTCGCTTCACAGCCACAACAGTCATTTCCATCCTCTGTCCTTCATACTGCCTTTGCATGTGCAAGGGCTGGGCAAAGAAGGCGTCCCAGCCCACTCTGCCAGCAGCCTCGTGTGGGACATGAACAAAATAATACTCTTTTTAGCTAAAAAAAGTCTCGCATTTGATGTGCGGATGTGATGTGTGAGCAGTCTGTCCTTAAATGAAGTATCGAGAGCTGGAGGCAGGTGGAGTCCTTTGTGGAGAAAACACAGTCCAGTTTGGTTTTCTTACTGTTACTGTAAGAACCTCTTTATGACACAGTATTAAGGAAACAAAGGTATAACAGATCAACATGTTAGGCTTTCAGCGAGCACCAGAGCTGTGGATTCAGGAGATGCTCTGGGGAGATCACCCAGCAGACCAGAAGGGCTGTAGCCCCCTCTGCTCAGTCCCTCCCGATGGCACCACGAATCGCTGCCCACGTCACATCACGTCAGGGTGTTGCACGGTTTGCCCTGCTGCAGCACAGTGCCCTCCTCGGGGTGATTGAGCTCCAGCTGTCCCCCGGTGGGCACGAGATCATGCAAGCCACAGCCAGTGATGGAGACACACATACTGCAGTGGGGAGCACACTTCTTGTCATCAGAGAACTTCCGGGGGCCACGCAGAATTAATCTGCTTTAGACTTGGGCCATTTTCCCCTTTATTACCTGACCTCTATCGTGACTATCAAGGCACCTTCTAGTCACAAGTAGCTCACAGCATCACAAGCAAATTCTGGGTTGAGATTAAGCTCTTGACGACCAAGTGGTTTACCCTGTGCAGGAGGAGTGATATGAAGGTATAATCCTCGAGGAGGTTCCCCTTCATAGCTCTGCCAGGTGTCCATTAGCTTGGCCACCTGGAAGCTGCAGAGGCTCAAAGGGAGATCGCAGGGAAGGCATCTTTCAGGGACAGGCAAAGTTTGGGACTTTGTAAATGCAACTGCAAAGGGTCCTGGGTTTCTGCTGACAGAGCTGAGAGTTCGTTACCTCCGCGGGAAACAACAGCACAACCCCGGACGGCACCGGAGTTGGCCTGTGCAGGGATGCCAACGCTGGCAGGCACAGGCAGGGAGTTACCTCCTGCCCTCGTTGTGCCTCTGCCTTCCCCACCGCAGAGGCTGCGGGAAACGGCTACGCTCGCTGGCAGTGCTGGAGGCGCACGCCTTCAGAGAGGGGTCAGGAGGAGCCCTTCCTCTGGGAATTTTGCCCACAGCTTGTTTGCAGGCTCTTGGCTCCAGGCCTCTGAGAAGTTACAGTGTTCCCTGTTCCAGAGCATCCTGCCAGTCACCTTTGCTTACAGACTATCTTCTGGCCATTTAATCACCCAGGAAGGGTCGTGTCCTGTGGAGGTATTTGCAGGATTATTTCTTCTCGAGCTCCCTCTGCAGCAGAGCAAAGTCAGAGCTCCAACAGATTGTTGATTCCCAGACACAAGAGGAAGGAATTGTGCTCACTGATTAAAGATGTGTAACTGAGCCTCTGGCTGCATCACCATGAGCCTCTACGGTCAATTTTTAATGCCTTTCTACTTGGCCTGAGGGAGGTCCCATGGTGAGTAGGCTCCCACCTTGCACATCCCTATCAGATGCCTGAGATCCTCCCAAGCTCTCAGGGTGCCTGCAGGCAGGATTCACTATGTGCAGTCTCAGCAGCACTGGTCCAGGTTGGGTTTTCATGGGTTTTGAAGGAGCCACATTGATTTCCAGGGCATGGGATCAGGCTCCCGACTGCATCAGGCGTTTCCCACCAAAAGAGCAGCAGTGCCTGTGGTGGTGCATCTCCAAACCTTCCTAGCTGTCGAGAGCAGCTCCCAGGTGTGAGCCAACAAGCCTCCTCTCCAGGTTTCATATTTCAGGTACTTATTACAGCGGCTTTGAAGCCATTTGAAATGTGCCACGTCCCTAAGTCAGTTGGGTCTCAATAGCTGAAACCTTAAAAATTGCAGTTGTTTATGTCAGGAGGTGATTTCTGTTCATTTGTCCCCGGCAGAGAAGACACATACAAGAACCTGTAAAGACGAACTGAGATTTAGTAGACAAATATTGTGATCCTTCTGTTAGACTACTGAGAAAGTGGAGCAAGACCTTTTGTTCTCTGTGTGGCACCGGGGTGTTAACAATCGCCCGCCTGCGTTCAGCTCGGGTGCTGCGATGCTGATGGCTTATTAGCTGTAATGGCCAGAGGCCAACTGGCACAGCCACACTGCTGATGCATTAATATATCAGACGAGAGACCTGGGTTGCACCCGGAGGGCTGCTGGGCAAGGCAGCAGTCAGCGCTGGATGCCAACTACCTGTAAATAACTGCTGCTGTTCTCCCCGTCATCTCAGCCAAGCTCAACAGCATAAAAGCATCGAGTAATTTGTCTCAGGATGTGTATCTTTAGGGATCTGAGGAAATAAATTTGTAAGCCAGAAATGTATGGAAAAAACAGATTTAACCAGATCCTTGGTGACCTCCAAACTATCCAGCGAGGGATCTCAGGCCCAGATTTTGCTAGCAGAGAGGGAAAAACAGCCTGGCAGAGCAAAGCAAAATACATTTCATTTAAGACATGCAGCTGGGAAAATGTTTTCAATCAGTCACTGGGAGGCTGACATTAAAGGAAAACCAGAGCACTTAGTCGTACCTTAGATAACGTGGTAAAAACTGTGAGGGGAATGTGTCTAGGACCAAAACCTCAGGGCCAGGAGCCAGGCTGCAGGTCCTGTTCCAAGGGCTCCCACTCCCCCCACACTTGCCAAGTCGTGGCACCACCTCTCGCAGCCGCTCCGTCAGCACCGCAGGGACACGGTTTGAGTCCCTAAAGCTTCCTAAGACCCCAGGATAAATTTGCTATAAGGTGCCTGAAGTGACAAGGGCCTCAGAGAAGTAGTAAGGGGTCAAGTTTAAGGTTTGTGATGTGCTCTGTCCGAGCATTTCCAACCAGACCTGTTTCACAGCGAGAGTAAACACAGAGAAATCTCTTTTCTACCCCCAACCAGGCTTCACACCCACACACGTGCTGCCATGGTGTCTTCTCCTTCCCTCTGCCTCCTGCCATGTGGCTGTCTTCCTCTGGGGTCAGTGGTGCCCAAAATGCTCCATGTTTTAGGAGAGAGGCCGCAGGGTTTGCAGTGGTGTTCATGTGTGTGCTTAAATGTCTGCCTGTATGTGTGTTTTGGGGAGATAATACAGGAATTTCCAGAAGCACTTGGTACCCTTGGTCATTGCGACTGAGGACTGGCCAGTTTTTCCCACCTGTCCCAGAGTAGCTTTGAGAAGGGCATCACCACGTAGGCCGGGCTGAAAGCATCCCTGGGAAAATCAGAGCAGAACCTTGTGAGAAATGCTGGCTTTCTCGAGTGTTTAGAGGGTGGGCCTCAATTTTCTGGTCTTCACTTTTTCTCTGTGGTGTCCAAGAGTCAGCTTAGTGGTGGGTCACTGATGCCTCATTTTACTCCAGCCGCAACTTGAGCTCCTTACTTAGCTGGCACGGCGTAGCTTTGGTATCCCGTTGCAGTCACCAGGGCTGCAGACTCGCTGTAAGATGCCAAGAGGAACATCTGCACAAGGTTCTAAAACAAAAAGCAGACGAGGAGGAAACTGCTGTAAATTCACCACCAAGATGCTGAATGACCCCATCTCCCTGTCTCCTTGTTTTGCAGGGCGGTGCAGTCTCTCTGAGGCCACAGGACTCCCAAAACCTGCTGACGGTCCGCAAGATCTCCGTTTCCCGCATGCACTCCTTGCCCAATGACAGCTACATGTTCCGTCCAGTGATGCCAGCGAAAGCCCCTTTCCCCCTCCATGAGGTGGAGATGGAAATGTATCCCTGCAAATCCCAAAGAGGTATACTGCTCGCAGAGCTTTCCCTTCCTCCTCCTAGCCAAACCACGGGGCAGCAGGTACGCGTGGCGGTTGGATGGGGAGTAAGCAACCCACGCCGAATGTGGGCTGAGCCAGGGCTTGCTTGCGCCGATTTGATGCTGTCAGCAGGACTGCAGTTGCCCACACACTGCACAATTTCGTGTTTTCGTCACGTCACTGCATTTTCTCGGGAGAAAGCTGGTGGCTTGGGTGTTTGATTGGGAAGAAGTGGGGCTCCCAAGCAATGTCAGAGGCGTAGAGGACAGGCTGTTAGCTGAGGAAAAGGGTTACGAGCTGCACATTTCTTCTGAAGTGATCAGCCCTGACATCATGAGTACAAATCAATAAAATCAACATGAATAAAAGTCAGAGTCTATATGACTTCCTGACAGAGCTCCTTTACAGCTATTGTTTCAGGGAGTCTTCAGTCTCGGAGCAGTATCTCGGTAGCACGGTACACTGAGTTCAGAGGTGCAGGAGTTTCTTTGGGTTCATAAAGATTGGAAACCACTTTCCAGCGCCCCTCTAGCCTGGCCTTACAATGAATCTTGTGGAGAGAGCCCCACAGTCAGGGAATCACAAGCCTTTGAGTATACATTTACCCAACTGCATCCCAATACATTTCCCCTAAAATGCCTTTCTCTCTCTTTTGTTGGGCGAGTTGGTTTGAAAGGGAAATCAATAAGAAAGAAAATATCTGCCTCCCTAAAAGCACACGTGCTTCTTGAGTGGCTCCCAAGAACTTACCAGCCTGGTTTCCTTTGATGCAATGTTGTTTGAAATGCAAGAACTGCTTGGACAGATGAGTAGTGGGTTTGCAAACGCTGGTGGGGCTGGCAAGATCTGCTCTGATTTCCTTGGGTGAAGTAACTCTATATTTGTTCAAACTCCCTCGACACCAGTTAATGTTCTCTGCTCAGTATTTATTATTATTTCACCTGCAAATTCTTTGCTAAGCAAAGAAAACAGAGGTTGAGTTTCATGGCTGGACTACTGGGGATGGTTTTCATTTCTGTAGTGGGTGTAAGTCAGGATTTATACCAGTGTAAAACTGCTGTGATGTTAGCAGGGGTGAGTAGAACTGACCAAGAATTTTCTCATGTTTCCCAAATTTCTCTCCAAGAGCAGTTGAGTGATGGATATGACAGCTCCTTTGCTTTTTACCTGGTCTGGTAGATGCATCCAACCAGCATCACCCAGAGCTGTGCTGCTTCTGAGCCGACCAAACGCTGAGTCAAGTCACAGTCCCATAAGTTACGTGCAAGTAAACGTGAGCCCCCAGAGAGACTCACATTAGCATTTGTGCTTTCATGGACTTTTCCATGTCCGTTAAGGATGTCTGGTCTTCTCCCAACACTTTGGTGACTACACGGTGAAAAAATAGTGTGAGATGACGAGGTCTTGTGTTATTCTGGTCTTAGATGCAGTTTCCTGATTTACTAGAAAAACAAGAGAAAAATACACAAATCCAGAGATATTCAGTGTTCCTGAGTATGCAGTTTAGAAGGGGGTTTGGTTTCCTATATGAGAGCTAGATGGAAAGTTTCCAACAGAAGGAAATTCCAACTTAGGACAGGGAGGAGAGCATAGGGTTTTGATTTTATGACCATGTTTGTGACAGATTTTATGACAAAGTTTTTCTGCACCGTAAAAAAACATTTCGTAAAGCCTGGATTAGCACATTGAGCGGTACAGACTTGCACTGAAACACTGGCTCTAGGAGAGCCCTAAAAAAAGCTAGGGAGAAGTGGGGCAGATTATGGGGTGGGAAGCTCACTGCTCTGCTCTTTCTGCGGTATTCTGGAGAAAAGCTCCAAAAGAAAAATGATTAAACACTAACTTTTCTTTCTTCCCAACAACAAATCTCTTTCTGAAATGCAACTGCAATCTGTCTGGATGGCTTTTGTGATAGGTTCAAGTTCCCTGACCTCTGGGCGAGATCTCTTGAAGTGATGGATAGCTGTGTTTTTAACACGGAGCAGCAATGTAGAAACAGACGCTGGGTTTCAAGCTAATGAGGACAATAAATCCTGCAGCCAAAAAAATAAAAAAGCAAAAGATCTTTCAAACAACGCAGAACTGCAGTAAAGCAGCACCATGAAGGGGCTGGGGTGGAGGGATTGCCTTTAGAGTCAGCCAGGGGACTGGGAGCCTTCATAAAGAGGCTGATTCCTGCCCGATACATGAGCTCAGGGACTGTCAAAGCACTTGAAGCAGTCTCCATGCTGCTGATCGGACCATGTTCAGCCAAGGTCTGCCTCGTGGACAGACGGTGGTGGTAGCATTTGGGTTGTGGTGAATGGGAAAACTGCTCTGTGCCTGCCAGCGGTGTCTCCTCCCGGAGAAGTCGGTGGCAGGCTGCCCGCTGGCTGTAGGAGGCTGTAGGTTGGACCTGTAAGTGGAGCTCTGGAGGCTTCGAGGGAGCTGAGCAGTGCTGCTCTTGCCTCCATATGGCGGAGCAGCGTAAGTGTCCCGACTCAGAGGATCCGGCACAGCCACCAGGTTCCCCGGATCCATGTTCTCCAAACAGGCAACATCGTTTTACAAATCCACCCAAGGCAATGCTACCGGGCAAGCGAGAATGGCAGAGTTTCAAACACAACCCCACCTCCTGCCCTTCATTTCCTGCCATGTGGTCATGGCGGCCACCATCCACCCTGAGTGTCGCAGCGGCTGCAAGAGAAGATTCCTGTTACCTGAGACAGAAAATAGAAGCTATGAGCATCAAGTTTGTAACAGGCAATATCCTGGAGCAAGGCAGAGCCACATGTAGTGCTGCTGAATTGCAGAGACTTCATCTGTACCCTCCCTGCCAGCCCTGATGAGATATGGCCTAGTAGTGAAGGCAGGAAACAGGACAAGGGACACCTGGTTTTGAACCCTGGCACTGCCCAAGGCTTCTGCTGAGGCTTAGGATTTCAGCCAGACTAGACAAGCTTTTCCTTTCCCCTCCTGCATTTACTCCCCTGCTGGAGTCTGTGGGCACCGGTTCTGCCTCAAACCCTCACAGCCCCCACACCAGCAGTGGTGGTGACTGTTCTCTCTCTGTTTCCTAGGGTCCATCACCTCCATCCGCTCCCAGCCCGTGGGAACGTGTTCCTCCCTGAGAGTCCCAACGGAGTCCCTCCAGCTGGCAGTCCGTTCTCCCGACCACGAAGGCCGCCATCGCTGGAAGATCCTTCCTCCCCACATCACACCTCGATCTCCTACTCTCAACAAGCTGCTGTGCAGACAGGTGAGAGGCAAGAGCCTGCAGAGGTAAACTCCTTTGTAGTCACCTGGATCTTTCGTTTCTTTTCCTGTTCCTTCTTGGGTTTCTTTTCTTGGAGCTGAGAGTATCATTCCCCTTTTTAGAACAAAATGTTGCTGGTGCCATAAACTTTAATATACTCCGGTCTCAGCAAGTGACACACAGAGAAAGGCCCGTTTTACCCACTTTCATCTTTGTGGATGTACCTTTCTATGAAAGAACAGCTAAAGCATAGAGAGAAATGCCCAATTCAGTTTAGCCGGTGCTGCGAGAAGCCTGTGGCCAGCCCTACATCATGTCACTGTAGACAGGTTGCACTGACTCGGGATTTGGTGCTAGAGCAAGACCAAGACCGTGCAGAAAGACCCAGCAGAGACAAGCCCTGTACACGTAGGCTCGGGGTCTGCTTGCTAGCAAAACTGCATCCTCTTGTACAGCAAGGGTGCAACGGGGGCTGGCACGAAGGGGCAGGAATGGGGTGGTGTGGGGTGTGTTAGACCCACCATCCGTTCTGCCGCGTGCCGTGTTTCACCACTGGAAGTGCCGCTGGCCCGGCAGATCCCCAGGCTCTCACCCCATCTCTCTCTCTTCACCTTCCAGGAGGCCATTCAAACAGACTCCGTGGACGGGCAGACTCCAGACCGCAAGGACAGCCTGCAAGCAGAGCCTGGAGAGACCTTACCATCAGCAAAGCAGCCTCAGAGCACCTTTGCTCCCAGCCCACTCCATCCCAGGGCTGCCTCCCTCCCGGGCACCCCGCCACGCTCCCCCCCGTCCTCCCCGCATCAGCACCCCAGCACACTCACGCGGAAGCACGCTTGCGGCCAGCACGGCGTCCCCAGCCGGCCACCCAGCCCTGGTAGCAGCCCTCCCAACCCCGAGGGCTGCCTCTTCGAGTCCTCCGACCTGGCTGACGAGGAGGTTCGCCACATCAACAGCTCGGCCAAAGACTGGGGAGGGGAGAACTCGGACGCTGGGAGCCGCTCGCCTTCGCCGTTAATCT